TGCAGATGCAAGTGTAGAGTACAAACTATCCATTTCGATATTTTCATGTTCACAGGAGTAAGAAGTATATTTCAATATTGAATTCATTCAATGAGTTCGACAGAGGTCCCCTCCCCGCCCACAACCAAATAAACCCATCTCCCACCCGGGGGATTCCATCAAAGGGAAAACGTTACATTGAAATTTCAGGTAAATACATGGCAGTGTCTCTGCAGAGGAATCATGTAGGATTTCAAACCAACTGCCGACATATGGTGGTGAGGGATGGCAAAGACATAATTAATAATCACTGGGCGCGTCTGGAACTGTCTCTATTGGTGTTCTCCACTCCGACCCCCTCACTCCCTTGCCCCTCCTGACTCATCCAACGCCATATTGGTATACGAGATTCACTTTGAGTCAGCAGCCCCTGCCCCACTCCTTAATTTCGACAAGAAGTTCCAAAGCACTGTGTATGTGTACGCATCTAAGCGTCTCGTTTGACTCCATCGAGAGCGTAATCGAATTCACTTGACTTTACTATACGATCCCTTCCCCGACCCAACCCCACCCCCCTGTGCGCCTCTCTGCAACGCCGCCCGTCAACTTCTCAACCGAACTTCCCAATTTAAGGGTACAATCGAGTGCACAGTTATAAAGACACTCTAGATTAATTCACATTCATTCCTTCCATTATCGCAGATGGGTTTTGCGCCAAACTTTTGATTGACTCCGGTTGGTAAATGTGAATTTTCCTCTCTTTTCCGTCATTTTCTTCGCTCGCTCATGTGGTCTGAAACGTTATGTACCTTTAACCACTGACGAGTGACGTCCGACCTTTGCGTCATGTTTTTACTGTTCCACGACGGTATGTTTCAACGGTCCCTGACATGCACAGACGAGTAGCATTGCCCTCGTTTCGTGGGGAGGAAAAGGGTGAGGAAAGCCGTGTCCGTTACACTCTCTGATCTCTCTCACCGCAGACCGCTTACACTTCAGTAGGATTATTCGCGGTCTCATCCACTTGTTATAACGGTTTCCAAGGTTTTTTTATTTCGATGCTGAGTTTTTTTTATTTCGATGCTTAAGATTGATTTCAATTCGTGGTAATGTAGTTCAGTAGGATCTCTGGCTGTTCAGTTATTGATTCTTCTTCGGGGAAATTGGAGATATAAAAATGAAATTTGCTGGAGGGGAGGAGGTGGATAGCATCAAAGGGTTTCTATCGCTGGGACTATTACAAAGGTCAAAGGCCGAATATCAGAGTAGCCTGCGGTGATTTGGATGCCGCCTCAAATAAAAGGTCATGCGAAAATGGCCCGCCGGATATGGCAGAGTAAAAAGTTAGGCAGAGAGAGAGGGAAAGAGAGCGGGATAGAATGGGTAGGTAAGTTAATGGGAGGAGGGCAAACTATGCGGAAGGGAAGACTCGATTACACGTCACGAACAGCTGAGAGCCTATTTGGTCGCAATCGGTTTTTCATTACCAAAAAAAGGATGCGAAATTTTTTTTCAGCTAAGAGGAGAATAAAAAATGCATGGGGGGTAAGCTCTGATTTTTTGAATCTTCACCTCCGTTTAGAGAGGAATACTCTTTTTTATTAATAGAAAGTTAATTTTACTGTACTAATTTTTAAGGGGGGACCCAGGTGAAATTTGAAAATCTTCGATTGATGAAAATAACTATCGAGCGACTTTTGATATATCACGGGGTACTTGAGAAACTAAGAAAAATTTCGTAGTCCGCCCATTTTACCCCGTACGTCAGACGAAAACGTCGTTGTTCGTGTTTTTGGCTTTGAAATGGTCCTCGCACTACAATTTTCATTTGATTGAACCTTTTGTTTCCAAATGTTCGTGAGATTCCATATGGAAATAAACAGAAACAGGACTCTTCGTATGGAAATAAACAGAAAACTATTCGGAGGTGAATCTCCACACTGATTGTGAGAGAAAAATTTCTTAGTATGTAGAACATATTTACTTGAGAGAAGTAAATTATCTTCAATGGCTTAAATCTCGGAGTGATTTGGCTTCACGGGAAATCGAATAAATTCTCACTTATCACTATCGTTCCGCGTTACATCATGAATATATTACCTATCGAAACATTGGAAGGGCAAACTAAAATTATGAAAACGATAAATACTTGAAGATTGACGATTCTTCTACCCGCTTTGAGTGAGTTCATGTGCGACAAAATCATAATTAAGTACAAGAATATATTAAGGTAATCCCAAGATAATACCACCCAAAAGTTAGTCACGATGAATTTCCGGAAAAAATTCTAAATGACTTAATTTCTTGCACTTTCATAAGTTATTAAGTTTTTCCATCATCAAATGTTGTTGATGAAGGCAACAATGACTATTTGAATCAAATAAGAAATCGCCCTACGGGGCTAGCGCACAGCGGTGGTGGGCAGGCTTAGCTTTGGGAAGCTAAGCAGCGCTGAGCGTGGTCACTAGATGGATGGGTGACCGCGCGGGAGAACACCTCCGGGAAGAAACATTGTTTGGAAAAACTGGAAAGAGCATTTTGGGAAAAAACAAATATGCGGAAATAAAAAAACGGGATGAAGGAATAAGAAAAACCAGGAGGTATACGGTGAAATGGAATGACAAAAAAAAATCAAATAAGAAATGATTTCACGAAATTTCCATTTTTTAGACTTGAATATCGCAGAAACTAGGGGAGGGTAGGGCAAAACGGACCACTGACAGAAAATTGGTTATTTTTGTTTTTTTCCCCCTTCAAATCAAGAACACTAAATGTGTTGAATTAAAAGTGAATTTCAGGATCATAACCATCACAGGGATTTTATAGACAACAAGTGTCGTTGAACCGCAATTTGATCAGATTCGCTAATCACCTCAAACCACAAAGGATTTTAAATTTTTGTTTCTGCTTCCATTCGAAAGCAAAAACTATCAAAAAAATCAAAAAATTATCAATTTTCTGTCAGTGGTCCGTTTTGTCCTACCCTCCCCTATGTACTATAGAATTTTACAAAAAATTCACCATATTCAGAATTTATCAATCTACAACGGATTCTTTTTTTAAGAACATCGTTAGCACCGTTTTCTTATAAGATGGAAAAATTGAGGACGGGGGGACCCATAATAATCTCCGTTTGGCCTATGCCTCGTATACTAGAAGTCCTCATTTAATTATTTATTATCTCCTAAACTGTGTAAAACAGCTAGTTAAAATTTTTTCACTAGCTGGGGAACATTGTAAACATTATCTATGAAAAATATGGGGATAATCGTGAGAAAAACCGGTTTTCTAGGGATATACCTTAAAGCATGAGACCTTTCCTGGGCCACGTAAATTCAGACGGCTGGGAAAATTAAGGATATCCAAATACTTTGGCTATTTTTTCTCCAGAGAAATGCTTTTCAACTTTTGTAGACAAACATCAGATCTTTCATTTGAGCCCCATTTGACCCTAAGTTTCTGGACTTTATTATACGATAATTTTATTATCTAAACCTTGCAGGCCTGGATTTGAATCTCGATATTGAACCGTTGGAAAACATTTTTTTAAAAGCTGAAAAAAATAGTAAGTTTACTTTTGAAGGTACATTGATCACATAATTGAAAAATTGCATTTTTGAAAATTACGAGCATTTTATATAAATTGGTTATAAACAATCAATTTCCCACCATAAAAATCATTTGTTCGGAATCACAACAAATTTATTCATGTTTAGAATTTTACCAGAAATTGATTTCATGCCTAAAAAAATTAGATTTCCGAAAGTTTAAGCAATTCCAATTATTTATTTATAAACAACGAATGTTAAAAAATAATAAATCTGTGCAAAATGTAATTTTAATGATGCTGAATCTTCACGATTTTTTTCAAATTTTTCTCGCGCAATTTAATTGGCAAATTTGATTGAAAATGGTTGAACCTATAATGTGGTCTGTACCAAACTGTAATAGCTATTTTCGTCACAAGGCCGAAATAGTATATTTCGTCACTAGGCCGAAAAAAACTTTTCTGGCGAATATGAGTTTGTAGCCCGAGCCGAAGGCGAGGGCTGCAATCATATGAGCTAGAAAAGTTTTTTTTGACCGTATGACGAACAGTATTTTTTGTTATGACGGCCGTAGACAGAGATTCACGGACGCGGAGCGTCCGTGAAGCGCTGCCTCACGGCCGGAATGACAAAAAGTTGTTTTCGGCCGAATGATGTACATAATTTTTCTTCACAATGTCCGCAGATGGTGTTTGCCGGACACGAAGTGTCCGAAAAACGTCTTTTTACGGACAGTGTAATGAAAAAGATACTTGTATATCCTTAAGCGATTCACAAAAAAATACTTGTTTCAAGTAAATATGCTTCAGACATTAGAAATTTTGTTCTCACTGCAATTTCGTTAGTGATAGAAATATTAATAGTATTCAATTTCTATTAGTCGTTTATCCCCGGGCGATCAAATAAACAAGTAGTTCTCTGAATCTTGATTCACAGGCAGACGAAAGTTATGTTTGCCTCTCCATTGATCCAGATTACTGAGACGTAGTTGGGAGATATACAGTCGAAAATTGACCAAGTAGCGACACCTGTGCTACTCCTCTTGAAACAGGTCAATAAATAGTTCAACAATTTAAAAGTTTTAATCGAGCGAATCCAAATTAGTCGCAAAAGTATTTAATATACTCTCACTTCCAAAGAAAAATCATCGGAATTAAAGGTTCATTTAAGAAATTAATTGAAACTGTCCAAGTGCTCGTCGGTAACGTGACAGCCCTGTTCAATTCCCTCTCAAGTTCTTATTCGCTCAAGGACTCTTCCTTCACTTCTTCCAGGGAGAAAGGAGCTAGACGCAATCTGAAATTGGATCCCATTGGATTCCAATACTTATGAAACTGCACGCTGTAATAAATCACTAATTCTCCATTCTTGGAGTGCTCTAATTGAATTTCACAGTGAATAAGTATCCTCAGATGATCCCCCAGATGCCAGCACTGACACTAAGACTTCATAAAATATTACCAGTCTCTAGTAAAATCCATCGTCACGATAGGAATAACATCAACAACGCGTAATTGACAATTCTCCAATATTGTGTTATGAAGAAATCTCGTTCCATTCAACGACACACATAACAAATGTAAGAACCTACCATGTATTGCGCTACAAAACCTCGAAGTAATCAATAAAGAGGGTGAAACGTATTCAGCAAGGCATTGCTCAATAATAAAAAGATAAAGGTGTATCACAATAGCCAATGATAGGTTTATAAATAAATTTCATCACAATGTCGAGTGAGAGTATTTCGATGAAGCAACCAATTCGAAGACTGGAAATACCTATAAGTAAATTCAACGATGTGGCGATACCACATCACCTGGATCTTCTGCGAAGACACAAAGATAATCTCAAAAAAGTGAGTATTGAAACGTCATTCAAAGATCATTCGAAAATTCTGTAAATGATTTTTCTCATGTGTTCATTTGCAAATCAAGTATGAGAGACTTCGCGATTGGGATAAAGTACAAAAGGAACAAGTTAATGCATCGAGATTAGTTAAACAATTGGAGCAACTATTGTACGAAATGGATACACTGAGGAGCCAAGTGGAAGACGGTGACATTGATAAGTTCGATAAACTTACAGCCAAGGCCAGGGCAAGCACGATCAACGCTATTCAAGAGTACCTAGGTAATTTTTAATTTTATCTGAAATTGTTCTCCAGGTTTAGCAACTAAAAATATTGGAAACAAGTGGGAAATGCTCCTGTATTGTATACAGTAAGTTATATTTGCTAACAAATTAGCGATATGCTTCCGAATGGTTATTTTGCACATCATTCCCTTCTATCATGCATAATTCATTGTTTATTTTATTTTATTAAATAGAATGAGGTTTCTTTCCAACTAATTCTATTAGATTTTCAACTTAGTTGAATGTTATCAGCAACAACAAATGAGGCAACTGATTTTCGAGAAAATCAAAAATTAAAAAAGCTAATCAATAAATTAAATTTTGGCTATCGATAGGGCTCAACAATACCTATATTTGAAAAAAAAAGATTCAAGTCCATCCATTCATTAGCGAACAATTGAAGAAAAACTTTACCACACATATACGTACGGACACGGTCTAAAAATTGCATTTTCGGAGTTTTTGGATCATAATGTGTCCATAATAGTACAAAAAATCCCAAACTTAAAGTTCAGCGATTACAATGCTTCTATTCGAAAGCAAAATTGACTCAATCATGTCTAACAAGATTTATCTGTTTCAAAACAAATCTGGTTAGAGTCTAATTATTGAAACTAAACTCAACTAAAGTAAACACAAGAAACTAAACTTAAGGATTCATTTGATTATTCTCAACATTCACAGATATGAAATTTGAACCTCCTCCAAAAACTCCCCCACATGAAAATGATCCAGAGAGTCCGGAACTTCATCATGGCGAGCGTTTCCTCCAGCTCCAGACTGAGGCAGAAGACCTAAAGAGACAGGAAGCCTGTCTTCATGCGTGGAATTCCTTGCAGGGTGAATTGCACCAACTACACCAGTTGTTCGTAGATTTCAATAAATTAATTCACGTGAGTCACTTCATTAAAATTCTTGATAAATATTTGGATGATTCAATAATCGTGCGAAAATTGCAGGATCAACGTGAGCATATCGACACCATAGAAGATAATATTGTTGAGACTGAGGAGAACGTCAAGGGTGGAACGAAATTCCTCCAAAAAGCTGCTAAATTGAAAGTTGCCACTTACCCCATTGCTGGAGCATTGCTGGGCACGTGTATAGGTGGACCCGTTGGTTTAATTGCTGGGTTAAAGCTCGGTGGTCTTACTGCTATTGGTTGTGGACTTTTAGGTAAATTAATTCTCACTACCACGTCACTAATGGTTTATGAATCACCACAATCACCAGATTCATCACATTTATAAATTTCCACATTTTTCCTCAAGTTTAATGTCTGGATTGCACTATCGCAATAGTACCCTCTTTCGTCAATTGAACATATCATAATTGAACTATATCCCATGTGAAATAATAATGCAATCACCACTATTTATTGGGTCGCCTTATTACTAACAATTTTAAAAAATCAGAAGCCGGTCGGTTCAGTTCCTAGTGGTAGGTGTTAGCAGAAATAGGTGTGACTAGGGTGTAACGGACAAAGCTGACCGGTCAATTTACCGTCATTTTACACGTAAATTACACGTCGCTGACCGAAGGCCAATTACTGACCATTTTTGGTCAGAAAACAAGTGACGGAATTTGGCGTCAGAATAATGACCAAAGAAAATTTTGACGGTCATTTTACATGTAGATAGAGCGCGACAAATATCGTTCATCTTATCACCGTGTTACTTCGAAATTCGTCCCCTGGGATGAGCCTTGGACCCCAGAGCTCTACAAATTTTAGTAAGAGATAGCCTGCTTTAGCCGTATGTTTGAGTTCTTTAATTAGTTCTTAAATGAGAAGATTTACGACATCTTTTATTCAATGAAAAATTTTACACAACTGTTTTTCTATAATTGAGCTTTATAGATTCTGTGATAATAATAAATAAGAAAAGTGCTACGAAACTTTTCTGATTTTTTTCCAATTCCATACTAAGGTTATAGTCACTAAATTTTCAATTTCCGTTTCGGCGTTATTCATAATTTTATTCAAATTTATAAAAAAAAAATCATGAAGAAAATGAAAAAAAAAAGACCGAGCATAAAAATGACGGTTAGATTAGATTTAGATAGACGATTTCTTAACACAAATGACAACGAGAAAAAATGACTCACAATTGGGTGAGTTAACGGTCAGTTTGCATCACGAGGTATGCGTCAAGTCAGAAATGGTTAGAAAACGGTAAATTTACAGCTGACTTGACGCATATAAAAAATTACCGTCATTTTGCATCCCTGAGTGTGACCCATCAGGGGTGAAACTCTAAAATTATTTCAATAATCATTACAGGATTCACAGGAGCCACGATTATGAAGAAAAAGCACTTGGAGAATCTCAATAAAACAGCAGACACCACTGAACTAAAACCCACGGGATCACAGAAAGGCCTCACCCCTTTGCAGGATAACTCCAAGCAAATGAAAAAAGATTTGTGACATTTGAGGAAACCTCAGCCGCACAACTTGAAATCATGTGGAATCCTCTAGCCTTCTTTAAAAATTGTTCATCTACTTTCATTGTTTTCAATCGATGAACAATCCAGAGTGTACACACAAGCCTGGAACTATCGACATCTCTGTGATTAATTATATGATATTTTACTACGGATTGTATACAACGAACTTGAAACGCTTAACTTAAAAAATTAAAAAATTAATATGAATTGTTTCAAGTGATTTATTACTCCCGCCTCGAATTCCAGTCGATAAAAAAGCGAGGTCTCACCAATCTGACGCCATCTTAAGGACTCTCCTTGTATCATAATAGTAGTTCAATTTCATTTTGTTCCATTACTCCAACGAGACAAATATCTAACCTCCCTGTCATTTCCAAAGTGAAAATTTTTCTCGGTATAATCAGCTGATCCATCAAACGGTGAGAATTTTTTATTTCTCTCATTAAAGAAGATCATTATAACATATTAAATGTGATAAATAATTCATATCATTCATAGATTTATTGTTCGCAATGGGTTCGATTTCGAGGGTCGTTGGAATTCCATTCGTTTTTCTCGCTTTCGGTGCTATCGTCTGGCGGTGGAATTATCTTCGTAGCCCAGAGTACGTAAACAAATGAATATAAAAATTAATGAGAAATAAACAACAATAACTTACCCATGTATCATTTTTTTCAGATGGTGGCAAGAGCATCATGAACAAATGAAAGCCCAGAAGCAAAATAAAACTTAGAAACAATGAATTCTTCTCCCTCTCCTTTCAAAGTAGTTCAAAATCATGAAATCCTACTTTTATTGTTATCTTATCTAGAATCAATGTTCCTTTTCACAAATATTTGGCAGTTTTCATTTATAATGGAAGAAAGAAAAATAAAAAATGGTATTGACTAGGAATGGGCGATGTTTGTCGATTAATCAAAAACCGCAATTTTTCATGCAAATACATCGATGTTTTTCGTTCGATGTTCTCCACGGCCGATTAATCGATTTTCGATTCTTTTTTCCAAACATTGAAACATTTCCAAACATATTTTTGAGTAAGCTAACAGATTTTTTCATTTTCTTATTATCAAATAATAATGTTGAAGTAATTGTTGATTGATTGAGAAAAAAAAAATTATCCGTAATCGGAAGTCATTTTTTTGCAGTATGCACCTTACAAATGGTAAGTAGATGGATCCAATCGTCAGTATATTTTTCAATTAATCAATTAATTCAATATATTTTTTTCAATTAATCACCAACCCTGTTTCGAGATTCAAAATTTGACTCTATAGCAGTGCTTATTATTGATACGTAAGTCCTTCAGGTTGTATTTTTTAAATATAGAGGAGGATCGGGTAAAATGGACACTTTTGACTGTTTGAAATATATTCATAACGCAGAAACAGATTTATCAATTGAGCTCAATCTAAGCTCATCACAAAGAGGAATCATTGTTTTTCAATTGAAAAATAAAATTATTCCATTTCATGAACAATTTAACACGTCATGAATATTTCAAAAAAAGTCAAGTGTCCGTTTTACCCCATCCGCCCCTTTATTTTTTATAAAATTTTCCATAAAAACAACATTTAAAAAATTATTAAATTTTTTTTTTGTGTAATAATAAAAGACATCGATTTTTTTTAATTCAATGTTTTCCAGAAAAATCGATTCCCAACATCGATGTTTAAAAAAAAACATCGATTCTTTGATAATCGATGTTTTCAAAAATATCACCTATCCCTAGTATTGACTCGAATTAGCAGATGACTCTGACCCTCCATAAACGTCCGCGTTTCATTTCCCTCTCAATTCCTCATGTTCATGTTTCGCAAGACGTGTCAGTCAGTTTCACCTCATCTATCTACACGAGCATCGATGAGTTGAATGTCAATGTTGTCTCACCTCCTGTTATTGGTCTCAAATAAAAGATCTGTAATGTGGCATACCAGTGTTCATAGCCGAGTATTTACAGCAAATTAAATATTTAAAAAAGACAATTAACAATGAGTGCAAGGTTAACGGGGCTCCTCTGGGTCCTCCTCGCCCTCGGGACCATCACCACGGTCACCGCAAGAATTCACAAGCTCGAAATACGGGTCAGTTGCACTCATCTCAATGAATACCCTCCAACAACATTTCCAAACATTATTATTCGTTCATTGATTCACCTCTTGACACTTCTCTGTATTTTTTTAATGAATTTCCAGGGTGACACAAGACGCTACATCGCTTTAACAACATTTGGATTTTATCAGGGAGGCATTCTGACAGTCAATTTAACGAATTTCAAAGTCACGCCATTCAATGAAAATTCAATTGTGAGTTGTATTTCCAGTTTGATCTTCGATCATTCCTGGAAAAAAAATCTAATTGGTTGATACTGTGCCAGACACGCAGTAGCCACCTGTTTCGATCGCTATTTCAATCACTCAATGTGCCACATATTTCCTCAATTGACATTTAGATGATATTGTCAATTAAAGCCCATTAAAATCGGACGATTGATGTAAGGTGGCTTGCGTTCCAACACTGGCACCATTCTGCACTTGATCTCCATTAATTATTACAATGGATCGTAACTCTCATTTTGTTTTCTCAGTATGGATTCAGTTTGGACAGGACTAGGAGTGATGCAATGAATCCGTATTTAGACAGTCATCAAGAGAGATGTTTGCTGCAGGGAGTCACCAGCCCCAAGGCTGACCTCGACTCTAAGGATGATAGTTCGGTGATTTATTTCACGATGGATTTCAAAAATAAATTGTGAGTGATCCATCACACGGATGAGCTATTAATAAATTACGAATGATCATTAAAACTATCATTTTTATTCTAGATTACTCGTCAATTGCAGTCACAACGTGCGATCGCTTCACATCTCCAGTGATCCAGAAGAAATTAGAAATTTCAGAACTAAAAGAAGATTATCTTCTGGATTCAGTGATACCGCTCTGTTTCCTCGTAGGAAACGCGACACTGCACCTCATGGTGAGTAACAAACTCCTCGTAAATTATCCCATAATTTGATCTAAACCTTTGATTTGATGAAATTTCCCGTATATTCTAATTACAATGAAAGATGCCGCGTTAGAAATTATGTCTTCAGCGTAGTTACCCGTGTTTGGCAGTCACCCAGCACCCAAAGTTAGCCGGCAAAAATGTGGGGCATGAATAGCTTCAACGAATTATCTATGAATCGCCTGAAATTTTCAAAATTTCTCCAACACTATAAATTAAAACCTGAATTGTTCCAACTTCTTGTGCGTGGGTTGTTGACGTACAAACAGAATAGAGGAAATGAGCGTGAAAAGAGCATTGCACTTGGTGTACCAGATGTTACCGTTATGCTCATCTAATAATAGTGGCATTGCGTACGCCATGTGCATTTAACGAATGCTTGAAATTGCTCTATTCTCGCGTTTATCACCCGTTAAATATTAATAGAAAATTATTTGACACTGTGCACAACGCGAGCCAACAGGTGGACGCAGATGATGTCCACTGAAATTCTAATGTTGAGTAATAACTCTCATACTGAATTCGTCCAGGGAATTCTGATGAAATTTATCCCATTGTAACAAGAGTTACGTCTTGTCCCATCTTTTCTGAATAGAAATTTGAGTTTTTAGGGGCTACGATTGTCACAGGGCTGTTGTCATCTTCGCAGGCCTAAATCGTCGTCTTATGCAACTGAATGAACTCAAGACATGAATGAATGGGAACAAATCTGTGTTCCAAAATAATCCACGAATGTCCTCACTGATATTATTAGAATAATGAAGACGAGAACAAATTATCATGCAATTTCACAGTCAACATTGAATGTGTGATGATAAATTGATGCGAATTCCCCTTCATTCTTGCCAAGAAGAATTTATAATGATGTTGTTATATAATTGTTATAGATATCGACATGGATGAGGCTGGGAGAAACATACAGAATCAAATATGTTCGAAAATAAACATTCCTATATCAACTGAAACTATCAAGGGTGAGAAATACTTCAACACGAGTTTCGCGATGTTCGTGGCGAATGAGGAGGAAGAGGGTAGATACAATCTCTTCCTCCACAGTTGTCCCAACTATAATTATGATACTCGTGTCACGATCGATTTTACGGTGAGAGTTTTGAGATTTACAAGAGGTTTTTAGCGTGTTTTGAGTAATTACTCATTTCATGTTTTATGATTCACAGATGAGGATAGTGGCGAAGAATAGAAGGAATTTCTTGAGTGCTGGTGAAATGCCACTTCCGTCGCTTTATTTCATGATGTCACTCTTATTTTTTGTCTCTGGGGTTTTCTGGGTATTTATCTTGAAAAAGAGCAAGTATGTGTCATATTCAGAGAATTCAAGGTTTTCAATGTCAATATTTATACTGAATAAATGATTTTTCATTCGTTTTAGGCATCCAGTCTTCAAAATCCATTATCTCATGGCTGTTCTCGTCTTCTTGAAATCTCTTTCACTGCTTTTCCATGGAATAAACTTCCACTTTATTCAAACTAAAGGGGAACACGTGGCAGCTTGGGCTATTCTGTATTACATCACGCATTTGCTAAAAGGAGCTGTTCTTTTTATTACGATTGTGCTTGTGGGCACTGGATGGGACTTTATCAAACACATCCTGGCGGATAAGGATAAGAAAATTTTCATGATTGTTATACCACTTCAAGTAAATAATTACTTCGGGTTTTAATCAGTTGGAAATTCAATGCTGCCTTTATTAGTGGAGAGAAATGGTTGATTCTGTTCGTAATTATTCGTTTGTAGGTTCTGGCCAACGTTGCTGAAATTATAATTGAAGAAAGTGAGGAGGGGGATGTGGAGCACAAAACGTGGCGTGATGTATTCATCCTAGTTGACCTGCTCTGCTGTGGTGCTATTCTATTCCCAGTGGCATGGAGCATAAAACATCTTCAAGAGTCAGCAAATACCGATGGAAAAGCGGCTATCAATCTTCAGAAGCTCAAACTGTTCAGGCACTTTTATATCATGATTGTGTGCTACATCTATTTCACTCGGATCATCGTGTACTTACTGAAGGTCTTTACTTCTTTCTTGATTGAAATTAATCCATTTTTTGAGTTGTCGAATGAATTCTGTCGATATTTATTCGTAAATTCGAGAATTCAAATCTTTTTATCAAGTTGTTACATCTCCAGCTACAAAAAAAACTCTCTTGTTGACTCGTTCTAACATCACTCACCTTAGAGATAACTTGATAATTTACAGGAGGTGTTGGCCAGTTTCGAACTATTCCAGAATTTCATTACAATATTATTACATGATAATTTCTTCAGTAGTGAATTCCTTCCAGTTATTGAATATTAAATATCTCTTTAGTGAGTAATTACTTACATAATTTCCTCAGTTCTGATTTCGATTAATCAGGGTGCAGTATTCAGGGTCACGTGACACGTTTCACACTGATAATTTCTCTGTAGCTTGTGCATTGTTTCCAACGTCGAAAATAGTTTCAACTTATTATCTTTTGTTATTTTTAACGTGATTTGCTGCAAGGAGTTTGCGACTGGCCATCGCCCAAAGGCTTTCAGCCTGGTATTTACGGAGATATTTAGTTGAATGTTATGATAATGTACATTGTACAATAGAGATCCAAGTCTACTTATTAATTTTTTAATTTTTAACAAAATTTATTGCAAGAAAAATACACAAAAAAAATTTCTTAGAAATAGGCCCATCGCCCGAGGGCCTTCAACCAAGTATTTACATATGGACATAAGTTTTTCGTTTTATTTTTGATGCTTCCACTTATTATTTCTTCCTGAAATTGAATTATTTACAGATGACAGTACCTTTCCAGTACGAGTGGCTCGATGAAATGTTCCGTGAAATGGCAACGTACATTTTCTTCGTATTAACTGGCTATAAATTCCGACCAGCATCGGCTAATCCATACTTCACAGTGAACGATGATCTGGCAGCAAACGAGGACGATGATGAAATGGATGTTGTGTACGTAACAAAGAAAAACAAAAAGTTCTATTCATTCATCTCCTTTATATTTTCATTTATCTATCATCTGTTTTATTTCTGTCATCCTTGTTTTATGTTAATTTTATTACTCTAATCTTACGACTTCAGGCTTTTTTCCAGTGTCTCAGGGGCCAGTGGATTTGCCGAGGGTCTCGGCAAGGTCTCCAGAGCAACGAAAATCGTCAGGCCAACAACAACAGAAATCAGTGTCAATGATGAAGAACGAGACAGCCTCATAAATAAACGTGAAGCTTCACATGAGTATGACTGAACCTCTAATTAATAAAAAGACTCACTTAGAAAAATAGAAAATTTATACAAAGTGTTAGGAGTTTTGGTGAAAGACATCAGAGCCTCGAACTGAGTTTAGTCACTTGGGAATATTTAGATGTCAAAACTCAAGTGATCCCTTGGTGTTTTCCATTTGATTTGGGTGGTATATTGCAACGACAAAGTGGCAGGCCGTTTGTCGTAATGTTTTCCTTATAATTATTTTATTTTATTATTTCTTTCTGTCTCTAGTGTCCAGCACTAAAAGAATAAAAACCAACGTAGATTGAGAATGTTTTAGTAGGCATTTAGAGTTACATTTCCAATAAATTGTTTTTCAATTTATTATCCTTATTTGGTCGTGAATTAAGAACCAACAACAAGAAACTCACAAGAGAGTTTCAACCGATTTTTCGTATCCTAGGAGTTTGTATAATTGTGATAATGAGAACCAACTAAAAGATTGTGTGTTTAAAAGTCAGAAGATAATTACGGGTGTTGTGTTTAGTGATCCATGACCATGCCCGTTGTCCAATTTCCTGTAAAAAAAAAAACCAAATCACATTCAGTTGTTTTTCAAACTGCTATTGTATTCCGTATTCTTACAATTAGAGATAATTTTCCGTTGCGGTATCAATGCGAACTATCATAGTAAATTTAATCATAGATGTAATAATAATCACACAACTGTATAATGGTAGAATATTTTCTAATTATGATTCGTGCACACGCGTTATTGAGAAACTATCTGGGAACGCAGAAGAGCAAGTGTTTTAGCAGGATATTTGACTCTTTCGTATTTGTTTATTGAAGTAAATATCTGTGGTATGTAATTATGAAATATGTGCGAAATAAGATGCAGACTGTGGAAATATGAATGATAAACAAATAAATGATATTTTTATGAAATTCCTAGAGTTGTTTTGATTTTTTTATATTTTCCGCGAAACAATTCAATTTAATAAAGGAACAGAGAAAATTCGCAATTGAATTGAAAGATGAGGGTATAATGTGAAATTTTCAACTTTTTTCGCCATTTTGGGCAATTTTTGATGATGTGAAGTAATTGAAATCATTCTCAATGGAGAAGAATCGATAGATTTGGTCAGAAATATAAACTGAAAACTCAAAAACGTTTCTGTACCTTTTTCAAAATTAAAATTTCGTCAAAAAATTTCGAAAATCAACGGTTTGGAATAAAATTGTCAAAAAAATGACAAAGAATGCCTGAGGCCTTTGAAATGTTGATAAATCCATATAGGAAACCTCAACAAAAACGAAATTTGAAAGGTACAAAACATGTTGGTCAATTATTGCTATTGTCATACCAATTATTGGTATGGCAATAGCCATAATTGACGAATCACCCATTGTATTTCCTTCCCCAATAGTTTATGTTGACGGAGAGTAGGATTGGGCATCTGTCGATAACCGCAATTTTCTACATGACATTGTAAAAGACCCGTAATTTACGTAATAAATGTAAAAAAACCAGCCGAAGTTAAGTTTTGTTGTAAGCGGTGGAGCTTCGATACCGTCGATACCGTCACTTACATTTCCTGAGTCGATTCCGTAATCGGTGAGTGAACTGTGAGTTCCGTAATTTTTACTGAATATTTCTCTCCGTGAATGACTTTCGAAATGAATTGCAAATTTTTCGATTTCAATATTCGAAATAAATTGAAGTGTTACCCGGTTCCGGCCGCTATCGCCGGAATTGTATTTGAAGGAACTGGAGATGTGAAACACTAAATTTACGGAGTGTAACGTCTCCATCGTCGTTGACCTTGTCGAGCAAATAAAATATATTTTTCTAAAAATTTAGTTATTCCCGAATTGTACTACATTTGAAACTCCCTGTCAATAAAAGCGCACCCCCCCCCCCCCGGCCGCCCAAACACACAATCCTCGGTGAGTTGCGCAGTTGGAAACACTCTCATATGGAGGTTTTCAATGTAAGAAATCAAAACATTGTGTGTTGTCATTTTGCTGCTAGTATAATGCAAAGAAATACCTGAGAACCGAGTTTTTTTTTCACAATAAAGCCCGTGCTGCTTCACAGTTCCATGGTTTTATTGAGCTAAACGGATATGGGAATAGTTGACACATTCGGTCAGGCATTTCACATTTTATAAACATTACGTCATGAATCACGGCAAATTGCCGAAAGGCTGGATTGTTGTCTCTTCAAAGAAGCGTCCAGATCGTGTATATTATTTCAACGAAAGAACAAATCAGACCTCGTGGGAACATCCGGGATATGACACAAATGAGGTTCGTATCATCTTCGCCAAAATTATTCCTGTAACTTAACCTATAAAATCTCCTATAAAAAAAATAAGCATTATTTGTTCTCCAGCCCTCCGCAAAAATGTCTAAAGCTACCAAAAAGCGAAGAAATGAGGAAGGAGATCCACCAAATGAGCCAATTATCCCAGAAGAGGCTCCAACAACCTCAAAAACCGACAGACCCAAGTTAAAGGCCCGAAGAACATTACCAGCGATGGCAAACGATCAGCCAACTGTATCCAGAGAGACTCCCCAGATGAAAGTTCTACGTCAAAAGATGTTGGAAAGACAATCAAATGTCAGTGCAGCGAAAAAAGCGAAGAGCACAATTGAAGATGAATCGAAATCCCCCAAAAAGGAGACGAAACCCGAACCCAAGCAAGACAAACAAACCCAGAAACCCTTGATTAACTTAGAGACGATGACTCCTCAGATGAGAGAAGTCTACGAGAGACTGCAAGCACGAAAAGCCCAGGCAAAGGGCAAGAAATCTGACCAAGTCCCGCAAGAACTGCCAAAAGTACCTGAACCTTTACCCGAAGAAGACACTCTGCGACGTGGCAGGTCTAGAGCTAGATCAATGGGCCCAGCCCCAACTGCAGCACCAGCTCCCGCCCCAGAGCCAAACGAGCCCTCAGGCTCCAAAAATCGTAGGAGAACGATGTACGTACCCTCGACGAAGGTCCAACGACAGAAATCAGGAAGTGACACAGAGTGTGCAGTCAAGCCCACCGACGACTTGAAATCCTCCACAAGAAAATCAATGACACCTCAGACTAAGAAAAACATTGCCAAAGAGAGAATAGAAAAACTAAGACGAAGTTTGGTGATTGAAGTCCCAGAGGAGGACTCCCCTCACCCCAAGAGGGCTAAAAAATCTCCAGAGAACGAGATACCAAGGCCATTGTTACCGAAATTAGATAAAATAGCAGTCCCTGATATTTATAAAACTGCAGAAGCTAGGATGAAGGCACTCAAAGAGAAACTTAACAAAGAAGCAGAAAGGGCTAAAGAGGAAATGAACGATTCGGCACGAGTCTCCTCAAGTAATTCTCCAAGACCAAGAGGCTTTGTGGATGGAGCAAGAGAACCTGCCCTCCTCCTCCAAGATTTATCCTACGATGATGAAGCAATGGACTGGGAGCCAATCGAGGATGACGTGATAATGCAGGAGATCCAGTCAGTGAGGAATGAATTAGGGGCTGATGTTCATGATGTCCCCATGGAGCAACACCCCGAAGAATGCAGCTTGGATCTTGTTGATGGCCAAGTTGAGTCCAGTCGTCGTGCCCTGTACATCGTCATCGACACGAATGTCTTTTTATCGAACATTCAGGCTGTCGAGCAGGCCCGAGACACTGTCTTCAAGACTCATGGACGTCCCAACATCGTGATACCTTGGACTGTCATTCGAGAGCTGGATTACATCAAGGATGACAAAGCAAACTCCAGACCTGAGGGTCTAAAGACCAAAGCAAGACAGGCTGTTCGATTTCTCAATCGACACTTTTCTGATAAACATCCTAGGATTCTGGGACAAACTGCTCGAGATGTTGTGAACAATCGAGAGCTGTTTGCTGTTGAGTGTCCAGATGATGAAATCCTTCAGACCTGTTTGCAGATACGAAAGTCCAATAACTCAGTGGTTTTGTTGTCTTATGATAAGAATCTCTGCAATAAAGCCATGATTTATGATGTCGTCACTCTTGGGAAGAATGACCCATTGGAAAAAGTTGATTACCTGATTGCCAGTGAATACAGATCCGAATCTTTGCTCACTTCTCATTTGAATCAGAATGGAAATAACCCGAGGAGGCCCACGACGACGTACATCAAAGAATTGTCAATCGCTGAAAATATCTTCGAGGAGATCAAAGCTGTCTTGAAGGATTTTCTCACTGTGATCGTCGCAAGGGAGATGCAGAATTTGTATGGAGAGAATTGGGAGAAGTATGTCATCATTCCACCCCCCTGGACGGCTATTACCGTACTAAAGTGTGCCATTAAACACTGGATGGCAGCCGTTAATGATTCGTTTATAAGGAGGGCTGAGCCTATATTGAAAGAGCTGTACGATGTCATGAGTAAATATGAGATAAACAGAAGATTGAGGGACGTGGAGCACGTGATTGATCTCACGTATGATCTGGTACAGTGCCTTATCATGAAAAAATATCCAAATTTGATTGAACGAGTTGAGCTTGCTATTCAGGATCTGAGGAGAAGACATCGTGAGGCTGCGCAGGACATTGAGGAGGAGGATTTTACAGAGAAACTTGGGAGGCAGGGAAATCAGAAGGAGCTGGAGGCCAGGGCTGACGCTGTCTTCCGTAGGTTTGACAAGATTTATTCGTTTGCTAGGGATGTTTGTGGCGCTGCGTGTGACTCAGTTGGGATGCCCTGCAGCTTTGATTTCAAGAAGTTGGATCCGCCACCTGATGATGATCACATCAGAAATCTGCAGCCAGAAATTGCTGCCAGTTTGAATCGTCTTCTGTTGATTTTGAGCAGGTGAGATGGAAATAATGTTTGACTTCTCAAAATTGTTATTCACTAAATTTTATGGTTCCCGGATTTTTCCTCTGTAAAAAAATCCCCGGAAAATTTTGCCCCTTGAAACTTTTTCCGCTGAAAAAACGTTCCCCAGAAAAGTTCTTATGTCCCCAAGAAAAAAACCCATGTAAAATTTCCCTGGAAAATATGAAATCAGACATATTCGAACACAACTTCGATTCATTTTTATTTAATGTAACATCCACTATTTTCTAGAAGTCAACAATTTCTGAACATCATGAATAATTTACATACACCTTTTCATCAAAATAGGATTCAATTTATGAAATAGAACATTTACAACTCGACAAAATTACTAACATTTCAACAAGCTAAATTTATTAATTTTCAATATAATCAGCAACATACAAACGTCATTTTCTTACGAATATAAATCAACTCGTCAAGTGAAACATCTCCAACAATACGAGATTAGTCACATTTTGACGAAAATTATCAATTAAACAGTCGCGAATGAAAAAAAAAAGATTTTTGTCATTAATTTTTTCATTTTTCTCCTAAGAGACAAAAAAGAAATTCAATTAGAATTTTCTGCAGCAAATCTTCACACAAAATCCCACATGAGAAAAAAATTGTAAGGAATTGTATTGTATCTTAATGAGAACAATTCGCCGAGAACGGATTAGCAGGGAAAAACATTGCGGGAGTTTGTCAACGGGGAAAAACACTCCGGCCACCCAGTTTTATTATAGGATATTATGGTTATGCTAATTTTCAATAATAAATTTATTTTTCTTTACAGAGCTCTAGAGGACTTGCGACTATTGCACAAAGACCACAGATCAGTCCTGGCTCTTTATGATTCCCTGCAAAACTTCTTCCCAGACAACGACTTCGAAGTGACCGAGAAAATTTCCCCACTCGATGTCTACACGTGTTTGAAGTATAAGGAGAAGAGTCTTAGATTTGGTGTGCCACAGCTACAGCAGCTTATCGACCACTTCTGTCGATTGGCATCATTTCGTTGTCGCTAACGTACTTGCATCTCAAAAAGACAGGCTTTCTAAATTATTGTTTTTATTATAAGATAATAACATTAACCTTATGGGGCGATTTCAGTTGTTTATTAAGAAAATTTGAGTGTTTACTTTTTCATTTGATAAGAATTTTCAATATGGCGTTTCACAAGTGTCAAAGTTTAAAAATAAAATATTTTCTACAGAAAATTGGGGATATGATTATTATATGATTCAATTTAATACGAAGTAGATTTGCTGAGCAAAAGTATTTGATAAATGTTATTATTCTCGGTTGACTTATTCTTCTAGACAACGCAGACTACTTCACCTGACTATGCCCTGAAGAATTTCTTCCCAGCGAAAGATCCCGAATATGTCATATGACTGTCGCATGACAGATGGCAGTTTTGACAATTTTTGCCATATGATCAAATCATGACTGCATTAACATATGACCATCATATTCCATCTAAACAGCAGTGACAATGTCAAACTACTCAAATTATGACAAAAAAATATGACGTCACATGATTGTCATTTTTTTTTTATTTAAGGCATTTTAAACCCTTTGGTTTACTCCGCCATGTACTCTCTACCTAACCTTGCGGCTGTGGCCGGACTTGCTACACTGTACCGCATTTGGTCCCGCGAGAGATGGAGGAAACCACAGAAAACCTCCATCAGTACAGTCGATTCCTCTATTAGGAACCTCCCGCTCGTCCAGAGCCGAGGTGAGACGGACCCCACCAGAATCCGCCCCAGGCGAGCCCTTTAACCCCCTTTCCCGCGGTTAAGGGTCTCCCCCCCAGTCGGGATCCGTAGCCCAGCCACCCTTTTGAGCCCCCAACCCCTGTTTCAGAAGCTAAAAAAAAACCGATCGGACTGGGATTCGAACCCACGACTTCCTAGTGGCCAAGCCGAACTAACGATTTAGCCAGCGCGACCACTGGACGTCGGTGACATGATTGTCATATGAAAAAAAAAAAAAATCACTTAAAGAACATAAAAAAACCGTCAAAATGGGATGTGATTTCATTCGCCTCAGTTTTACAGAGCTTATGCGCCAAAACGTATTTTTTTCAATCCTGAAATTTAATTATCCATGTTGGAATGTCAAACGTTTCGAGGAGCGGATTTTTATTTTAATTTCTGTTCGCACGATAAATCCTATCGTAAAAAGGAGAAAGGAAATCGATCTCGAAATATCTCGAAAATCTCGAATAAGCGTAAGCGTAAGACTGAAACCGAAGCACCACTACGTGAGAGATGAGAAGGCGCGTGCGTAGCACGCGCGGCCGATCTCGTGAAGAAAAACTGAGGATAGCAAGTTGAAATTTTTTATAAGTCTTATTCAATTGAAGTACCTAAAAAATATTATCATGACAAAAAAAAACTTTTCTGACAAATATGATTGCCCCCCTCGCCTTCGGCTCATGCTGCAAACCTCATATTCGCCAGAAAAGTCTTTTTCGGCCTAATGACGACATATACTATTATGGCGAATATGAGTTTGCAGCTCGAGCCGAAGGCGAGAGCGGCAATCATATGAGCTAGAAAAGTTTTTTTTTGGCTGTATGACGAACAGTATTTTTTGTCATGACGGCCGTAGCTTCACGGCCGGAATAACAACAAAATTATAGTAGAACTTAGAAAAACATAATTCACGAAATTCATAAAGAAATCAAATCATTTCCAACAGATAATTATTTTTTCCCGTGCTAAATGAAATGGCCCTTTACGCAACGATGCCAGAAACTCGCTAAACGCGGTAGGGTAGAGTAGAGTGAATTCGACAACGCTGGGACCTAAATAACACGTGTGGCGAATCCCCGCGGAGTAGACCAAGTCACAGGGTCGCGTATGCACAGAAAAAATTTTTCTAGAAAAATTCATGTCCTAAAGCACCATAAACGAGTCAATATCCGCACACTCAGAAACATTATTGTGTAGCACCAGAAAAATTACTACGCCCCAAATAATTTTTCTGGTGCTGACCGATAATTTTTCTAGCGCTACATAATAATTTTTCCAAGTTTGCAAAATCGCAAGTATTAAAAAACAATTGATTTTTTTTCAAATGTGAGATGAAGTTATTCCCTTCATCTTCATAAAAATTTCAATCCACCAACCCACGTTTATTATTTAGAAATGGAGTGGACAAAATGCACCAAACGCATGTGCTAACATGCGGTTATATGGGATAGAATCTTTCAAATATTTCCTCTTTTTGGGCGGGTATCCGAATTTTTTTTCTGGCTATTCAAATCAGTATAGTTCTGAACATTACCTTCTTTTTTTATTTCTATTTTTAAAGTCTTATAGTAAGTGAATTATAAATTTCAACATAAGTCCCATAGAAGCCCGTGTATAAGGAAAAATTTGTTTATTTACTTTTGGCGAGACTATTGCGATTCATTTTTTTAACATCAAAGAAATTAGTTTCATATGTTCTGCTATCAGCCAAAAAAATTACAGATTTTTCCTTGAACATGAAAAAATAAGATTTGCTGAAAATGGCTAAACATCCTTAATGGTAAATCACATGAAAAAAATGTACAAAATGCTCACAAAACTGTCATTATTTATTACTGATTTCCTTTTCTCTGTAAATACTTTAAATTTAAGATTTTCCGCCACTATTGACCTTTCATGTACTATGTCATAATGTAAAATTTCACCTCGCATTACCTACCTTTGAATAAACTATCTGTATTACACTTAAGTTTCTTCATGTACTAGTTAAGTCATTTAATTGGCCTCGGCTGCTTGACTGTTATACCAATAAATAAATAAATAAATAAGTAAATCAATAAATGAAGTTTTTTAGAAAATTTTTCTCAGTGGGTGACCGGACTAGAATTAATATAAAATAGACTTTTAGAACCAAAGTATATGGCAAATATTATTATTCTCTATTAGTTTTCCTTTATAAAAAAAAAACAAATAAATTAGTTCACGATTCCCTGGGCCATTTCCCCTAAGAAAACGAGCTTAAGGATAATCGGGCGAGCCCGGAGGGTTGGAAAAAAAGCAGCCATTTTTTTCTTTTTTTTTTTACGTACTCTTTAAATGATGGAAAAGGCGTGTGCAAATTTTCAGACTGATGGGGAGCATGGTTAATTTATTATGAATTTTTGAAAAAGTGGTCATTTAAATCACAAAAAAAACTGCAAAACCCAAGGAAAAAATGCAGCCAAAGTCATGAAACTTTAGACACATTTAAAACATGTGATCAATGATTTTTTGAGTGAAAAAGATTGTCGCCTAGGAGTATTGCTCATTAATAATAGCGAAAAAAGTACTAAAAACTGAAATTTTTGCGCACGCAGCCCAAACAAGCAACATAACGTCCCAAGTACCGATCGGATGGGGGTAGCGCGGTTAATTTGAATGTCTCTTGAGAGAGAACGATGAAGCGTTGTGATTGGAGCTCCCTCGAGCCAGTGGTACCATCTCCTGGTAAAAAAAAAACTACTGACGATGTCGCCACGTTTTCGCATGGATTAATATTTTTTCATTTGTTAAAAAAAACTATCTGAAAACCATTCAATGCGTGGAACAGATACAAATAAATTTGATTAGCTCTAAAAATAATTTTTAACCGGAGATACTCCCTAATATTGCCTGAATTTTGAATCCGAATGGAAAAAATTTTTTTGTTCAGCGATTGGTTTTCTGCAGGAAAACAATAGAAACCCGCCTCACCTCCTACATTTCCTCCTCGCCCGATTATCCTTAAAATTACCGAGAAAATTTTTTCAATTCATGCCTACACTTTTCTGAAGAATGCATGATATGGCAAAAAGTAATGATAAAACATTTTCGCTCAAGAAATGAATTTTCAGCAGTAGTAACAATTTATTCAATACAAAGCTCACATTAAAACAAAAATACTTGATAAACAGAGATATTTCTGTGTATCTCAATTTTTAAATAAGTAAAATAAGTTCACAGCCACATATATGTGGATTATATAATCCAGACTGTAATTACTTAACATCATAAAAGCATCAATGAACTATTTTTCAATTAATTTCTATATAGTAGTGGAAATCCACCCGGTGGTGGTTGAAGCCAATTGTCTTTGGAGTAACGAACGTCTGTTGTCTCAATAATATGGAAAGTATAAGCATGTCGAGAATTTTCACTCTTATTGGCTTTGGAGTAGTGAACAACTTGACCGTCGATGAGAATGCAGGTGCCCTTTCGTACCGTCACAGGACGAAAGTTGCTCATGGGGTAACACGGCGCTGATTTATCATAAATAAGCAACTCCTGCGAGGTAGTATCCTTATTCCTGATGTATCTCCTGTGGACACCACTCTTGTGAGATCCTGGGGCAATCCAGAGGCACCCGTTATCTAGAGTGGCATCATCCAATGCTATCCAAAATCCGATGAGCTTTATTGGCTCTGTGTGAAGATAAGAAGCATCCTGATGGGTATTTACTGGAATTGAAAAAAAAGCCTCGATAATGACTCATTATAGTATATTTTGATACGATTGCGGGAAAGTGTTTTTGGGCTCGTGGGAGGTTTATAGCACGAGCCGAAGGCGAGTGATATAATCCCACGAGTCAAAAAACACTTTTCCCCCGAGTATCGAACCCTATTTTTCATTACAATGTGTGGGAAGTGGGGTTTCGTGCACGCTCCGCGTGCGTAAACTGTCACTTTACACACAGCATGATGAAAATCATTTTGAAAGATAATACATCGACTTATAGTGCAGTTATCTTAACAGTGAGTGGTTGTAAGACAAAAGTTTCGGACATCTGTTCAATGGCTAATTTTCACAGCTACACAGCAAAAAGGAATCTCTGAATTTCACACGCCTTTTGTAGACATTTTCCAAACACTAAACAACGTCTGAATAAAATGAAAATTTGTCTGAATTTCAGACGAATAGGTGCCCAAACAGCTTAATTCATGTTTGAAATTCAGACAAATTTTTATTTTACTCAGACGTTTTTTTGTGTCTGAAAAATGTCTACAAAAGGTGTATGAAATTCGGACATTCGTTTTTGCTTTATACACTGAGAAAAAAAATCTAATATCTGAAACATATTTACTTGAGACAAATAATTTTTCTTCAATCGCTCAATTCTCGCAGGCTTCTCAACTCACGTAGTCCGAGAAAGGTCTCATGTTTTAAAATATTCTAGTACTTAAGTATGATTTTGTCGCAAGTGAAGTCACTCAAATCGCGTAGACGAATCGTCAATCTTCAATTATTGATTTTTTTCATTTACTTCCAATGTTTCAATATCTAATATATCCATTATGTAACGCGGAACGATAGTGATAAATAAGAATTTATTTGAATTCCGTGAAGCGCAAACATTCTGAGATTTAAGCCATTGAAAATAATTTACTTCTCTCAAGTAAATATGATCTACATATTAGGAAATTTTGCTGTCAGTGTACAGGGAAAGTTTTCCTCTTCATGAAATGTTTCTGTTCGTAGAAATCACGCGATATGGAAATAGACTGAAAACTATCAGATACATAGGGCAAGTTTGGCGGAAATGGGCACCTTGAAGTAGCTCTATAGTTTCGAGAATTTGAAGAATATACTTTTGAGGATTGATGAAAAATATAATTAGATTTTGCTATAATAATTTAATGTATCATCGAATGCGTTTTTTGAAAGTAAAAGTACAGTATAATACAAAGTGAGAAATTTATTCTTTCGAAGAATGTGAAGTTTACAGGCTGAGTTGAAGCCGAGATCTGTACTCCCATAGAAAACGGAATTTATCACCGAATGCTATAGACTATTTTATGTTTCTGCGCGCGGAAAAGCGCGTTTGAACCGAGGGGAGCGAGCGCCGTGGCATAAAACCTCTTGGGGAATCGAGTTTCAATTGTGCCTCTTATAAGAAAATCATCAATTTGGGATATTTTGGTTGTAAATAGAACTTGAAATTCCGTTTTTGTCGCAGTAAGGGGAGACAACTATGAGTTTTAAAAGTCGCGGGCTATTGGAGTGTGATTCCTCACGCATGAAGATCGATTATATATATATATATATATATATATATATATATATATATATATATATATATATATATATATATATATATATATATATATATATATATATATATAAAAACAAATAATTAGTGCAGAACAATCAATTGTTTATTGTTCGAGGCCTCGCAGACGCTTAAAGTATTAAAAATAGTCCAGGGCCTCCAATTTTTGAGCTACAGAGGTCTTTTTTTCACATTTTTGAAAAAATGTGTACAATAACAATTACGAATTAGTTTTTCGATATTGTACTCTTACACAGCTAATTTCATTTTATTAATGATAAAAAGTTGCGCCATTCATATAAAATAGGTAGAAATGTTATTCTTAAGGATATTCGACACCCTTTTAGCCAAAATTGACGTTGTTTTCATTTTTCTGGCAAATTATCGATGGGAGTGACGTGAAAAAATATAACGATTTTGTGGTTTGTCATTCTTTAATGGCTCACGAAGTTCCGTAACGGTGCGATAATTTCCCTGCGTTTTTACTACAGTTTTGTGATTCTTTTTAAAAGTTTAGAGAAAACGCAGGAAAATGTTCGCACCACCTTAAAATTTCGTCAGTCATTAAATAATCACAAAACGCAAAAACGTTATGTTTTTTCACGTCAATTCCATCATAAGTTTGCCAGAAAAATTAAAAAAACGTGAATTTTGGCAGAAAGGGTGTAGAACATCCTTAAAATATTTGAAATATATTCTCGATTATTTCAGAAACATTTTTCGGGGTAGTTTACGTGAATGGTGCAATTTTTTTATTAAAACAGTTACGAAATTAGCTGTGCAGGAGTTGAATTTAAAAAAACTAATGCGTAATTGTTATTGTACACATTTTTTCAAAAATTACGAAAAAAACATCTGTAGCTCAAAAATTGGAGGCCCTGGCAATTTTTAACATCCTAAACGTCTGCGGGGCAAACGAACTATAAACAATTAATTTTTTTGCACTAATTATTCGCTTTTAGACATATATAATCGATCTTCAATGTATGAGAAATGTCATTCCAATAACCGCGACTTTTAAAACTCATAGTAGTCTCCCCTTAATTGATCACGAAATTTTTCAACAGCTAAATGAGAATGATCGATTGTTTTCAAACCAAGTTCTATTACTCAATTACGAAGAGGAAATGTACACGAAAAATACTAATATGGTGCAGAATGTAATTTGGATGATACTGATTGAGTGCACTGAAAAAAAAAAGTTTTTCGAGAAGTACATCTTTACTTGTATGAAAAAACTCATGGCTCGAAAATCGACAAGAAGGAAATATCTTACACTGAGGAAAGAAGTCTTTCAACAGATTTTGTACTCATCCAAAAGATGAGGGGTAATTTGTTCACAACAAGAAAACGATTTCTCGAACCAAGTCAAGTGGTTTTTGCATTAAAAAATTTTTGATTTTAGACTTAAAGACGACGGAACAAATTAATTCAACTGGGCTTGATTTGAGAAAGCCCTTTCTTGTCATAAAAAATTATCGTCGTCTTTGGGACAAGTACCAAATCTTTCGCCGAAAGTTTTATCTTTCTCAGTATAAGATATTTTCTTCTTGTCAATTTTCGAGACATGAGTTTCTTGATACAACTAAAGAAGTCCTCGTTAAAAAACTTTATTTTGTCAGTGTATGAACATTTTCTGAGTTTTCTCGCACAATTGAGTTGGAAAATTTGAGGATTAAAAATATCTAAAACTATAATATTGTCAAACTGTTGACAGAGAGGCAGTTACCTCAAGGTATTTCGTAAGAACATTCAAAATAATGGAAAAAAATGATAAATTCATGAGAGAAATATCTGAGCATGCCGCATCGTTGGAAATTTTTCGGATTTGTTTCTAGATCTCGGCCTCAAGAAAAAACAACAAAATTTTCATGTTTTTCTTCGCAAGAAAATTATGAACTATTGAAGGAAAAATACCCGAGTAGAAATTTTAGTACTTGACTAGTCAAGCCCTGGTCCGCTGTACCGGAGAAAAGATTCGGCCCTGTTACGGTTACCACATCAGGGCCTGATAGGAAATATAACGCAAAGCATGATCAGGACCTGATTTCTAAACCTGATAAGGGCCGTGACAGGAGGCCTGGTGTAGCCCTTACCTGGCATAGACTTTGCTACAAATTAATAAATTGCTAACTGAATTATTAAATTGAGCCAAAAATGAATAATAAATAAATAAAGTCACCCAGAGCGGGACTTGAACTCGGAACCATCCGCGAGTATTTCTGTATCCTATCCACTCGACCACCGTATCATTTTTAAAAATAATCGTTTGTTTTGAGTATATCAATAATACTCTCAATAAAATTATAGTATTGAACTAAATCTAGAATAATATCAATTAGTATAATTTTCGTGATCATCATCCCCCCGTCTCTCCGACCCACCCCCATTTACCAGTTCCACCCCGACTCTTTGTTTGGTGAAAATTTTTCTAAGTCCCGTACGGCCTGCCTTATTCGGACCTGATCATTGCCGGATCAGAATTTATAGATGAACTTATAGAAGTTAAGGATTCCCGGCACATCTTACCTGGTCCTGATCATGGCCGGATCGAGTTGGCCGTATTCGGTATACTCAACAAGCACTTGTATTCAATCAAAACAGGCTGAAAAAGACCCCGGAATTTCCCTTATCAGACATGTCTGATGTAACTTTAATTTTTCTCTATCACGGTACGCTCAAAAGGCCCTGACTGGAGCATGATCAGATATGCCTGCTTAAAGTTTGGAATTTATTGGGAAAGGTGACCATGCAAGGTCCCCTTCAGGCCCTGATCTGGCATGCCGTAATCAGTTATACCGTATCGATACCGGAGCAGGGCCTTCTCTGCCAAAAGGTCTGCCTGACGAAGTTTCTACTCGGGATAGTGCGTGATAGATTAAGTACTCTTGCTTAAATGTCTGTATATTGTATACAGACATTCAGAAAAAATCGGAAAAAGTGCGGCGCGACGCTCATAGCGCGACCAACGGAGTATTAAAAACCTCGTTAACAGCAACGAAATCGTTCCACCTTTTCTATTAGTGCAAATATAGAGGACATAACTGCACGGAGAGAAGAGCCATGGGAAAGAGTCCCATGTCAAATTTACGACTTGTATGTATTTCTAATATTTAGGAAGCATTACTATGCTATGGTAATGATTCCTATGGGGTGTGGTATTACATACTATTGGCTATGGTAAGTCTCTCGATGGGAATGAAGCCTATGAACATAGGAGAAATTACTATATTGAATAGTACCCTCTACCGTGTTACAGGGTAGAGTGTACTATTAATTATGGTAAAGGGACCCATAGTCGTTTGGTAAAGTTTACCATCGTTTATAGGAGAGATTACCATGCATTATGGTAACATGACCTATATTATATGGTAAAACGTGAAAAAGTCATAAAATGTCACGAATATAAAAGATAATGATCACTAAACTATATCATGATAATAAAGAGTATAATGAGATAGAAATTTCAAGTGGGATAGATATTTATATTTAACGTATTTGGTTTCGACGCTGTTTCAATAATTACAGAGTATTTTCTTGTAATGTTGGATTCTTTCCTATTAATAATCATCAATATATCTAGATTAATCATATCGAATATCGTAAGGATCATATTTAACAATAACATATTTATATCAGTATTTTAATATCAGAATATACATATCTACAGAATAGTGGGATTTTTTGCCCCAAATTTTACCTAATCATTGGAAGAATTTTTGGNATATCGACAGAATAGTGGGATTTTCTGCCCCAAATTTTACCTAATCATTGGAAGAATTTTTGGCATTACGGTGCTATGAAAATTATTAAAAAATTCAAATGTGAGTAATTAAACTCAACAACTTTGCGTGAGAATCTAGACCCAACATTTCGGAACGTATTGCTTTCCATTCCCGGAGGTAGCTAAATACGATAGGATACAAAATTTCATTTGTCGAAATGTCAATGTCGACCACCTCTTATCATTTATATCAATTTCATAGGATTGGAAATGTCTTTCAAAGGAGTATTCTTGTAATTGTTGAGTAACAAGAATAACTTGATTATTTGGCTCTAGGATTACGATATTGATCAAATGTAATTGAGGACCAGCCTCGGTCGGCATCATCAATATTACGTTTTCCCTGATATCATGTCCCAAATAATTGAGAGAGCTTACTGTTTTAATATCTCCAGATCGATTGGACGGGAGAACTGGCAGAAAATGACGATAATTTGGATCTAATTCTAATCTCTTGTTAAGAGCTGGACCAGGGAGAAAAGGTAGTGGTAGAGACTTGTTTATGGGTAACCGATAATTCAATTTTGATTGTGCCTTGATGGCTATTTTTAGTATTCTCTACGATATCGAGAAAAGGAGAGATTACCATGTATAAATAGTACTGATTACCATCCACATGGTAATCTCTTCTATAATAATGGTTGTCGTTGCTATATAGTATAGTAATGCCTACCATGTTCGAATGATACAACATAGTACGCTTTACTGTTGAACATAGTAAAAATTACTATTGAGATTGACTTAGAAACCCTTTTACCATAATTTATGGTAACCTCTACCATACAAAAGTAACCCCTACCATTTACTTTTCTCCGTGTGGTCCCAAAATTTACCACTGATTGGTCATCAGACCATTTCAAAATATACCTAGCAATCCATCAACTTTTTTTATATGCCGCTTGGGAGTCAAGAATATCCATCTCACCCGTGTTCTCATCTCACCCTGACTTATCCTAACTTGTACTTCATTTTGCAAAACAATGGAAGAATGTGAAGCCACAGCCAATTTGAAGAAATTTATGTTATTACGTTACTTCGTTGCTTTCCAAATGAAAATAAATACGCAGCTGGTATCTTCAATACCCCTTCATTTGCCGCAATAAAAATATCCGAGAAAACTTCAATTTTCCAATGACGGCCATAATTGGATAAACAACGATGAGGTTCTATCCAACTTTTTGCATTCACCAACTTCAAACCAGTATTCATCTAATATTTTTTTTCTCGGAAAATGGAATAGCTTTTCAGGTTGTTTATTTACCTTGTGACCCCAACCCCGGATTTTTGTAAATGTACATGGACTGAGCGACCGCGGGCTCCTGGAAATTCAACTGAAACGCAGCCTCCTTTATCCTCTCATCGAAAGTCAGCCTTTTGAACGTCGGATGAAGCCAGTGAAGAGCATGTCCTACCTAATAACATGTATATCGAAGAGAAATGTAAGTATATTTCTTGCCCAAATAGTGTATATACTTGAGCGGAATATAAACCGAAATAAAAATCAAGGGACAAACGAAATTCTAGGTAAGCTGCTTTACCTTATTCAAAGACACTCTCGGGTGGACCTTTAACTTTCCATCGTCCTCGAGGGCCTCGGATTCGAAGAAAGAACTCACTCTGTGAGCGCTGTCGAGAAAATACTGATCCTTGCTCTGAAAAATAGAGAAATGATTGAACCATGTAATCAGGAACGATGAATTATACACTGAACTTGAAAACCGTGATGACTCGACTTTATTCATCTTGTCAACTTTGAAATAACCTTGTCATAATGCCGTTGTATCAAGCGTTGCAATGTCATAATGCACGTTTATTCAATTGGGTATAATTTTGGGACTACTCATTATGTTTCAAAATTGAATAGTATATTGTGCACCAAGGGCGGAAAGTCATATTTTCCCCACCCGAGGTGTATATGCTGTTTTTTAACACACTAGCAAAGAAAAGTTTGTATTTTGCTTTCTAATGAGTGGGAGGAAAGTGGATACTTGCCGCTCAAGGGCGAAAAGTCAATACTTTTCTCCCTCAGAATTTTTCAAGGGTGGAAAGTTGTTCCTGAGAGAGGAAAGTACTTTCCGCCCGAGGGAGAAACTTTTCACTCGAAAGCGGCAAATACTCATTTTCCTGCAGGTGTCTGAAAATAGTATATTGTGCACCAAGGGAGCGCAACAAACATCCTGACCCGCGTGTTTACTCACGTAATAATCCAGACGCGGGTTAAAATGTCCTGTTTTCCTCCCTTGGTGCGCACGATATTTTTCGTCATAACTGCCCGGTTAAGTTCGATTTTTCTCTGTAAATGAAAGGGAGGAATGTCGGTTATAAAAATAAATATGCATCTGGTATCTTCAATTCCCCTTCACGTGCCGCAATAAGAATATCCGAGAAAACTTCAATTTTCCAATGACGGCCATAATTGAATAATCAACAATGAGGTTCTATCCGACTTTTTGCATTCACCAACTTCAAACCAGTATTCATCCAATTTTTTTTTTCTCGGAAAGATGGAATAGCTTTTCAGGTTGTTTATTCACCTTAAGAAATGTCATTACGAGGATCTTCTAAAAAAATAGAAATCCGAGGAATGAAATAAGCCACTTTTCTCCCGTCATTTAGAGAGAAAAATCTAACTTTCCATGCAGATGTAACGGAAAAGCTATATCTATCTATTACGCCGAGAACGATTATAAAAATATGAAAAATATGAAAAGAATAATGATATCCATTCCAGGAATGGTGGTAATAATAAATTTTTTTAGGTATTACTGGGAAATATTCGTCGCCGTATGTTAAAAGGGGTGTATGCTTTTTGCTTCCGAATGAAAGCTTTGTAATTGTTGATTTTGACGATCTTCTAATTTTGCCTGAAAATTACGTAGAATGTCATGAAACATGAAGATCGGATGTTTTTAGAAAATGTCTGTATGTATGCCTGGGTGTGTGTGCGAATTTTTAAGGACTAGAGTTGAAGCTAAAAATCTGAAATTTTGTCACCTAATTGGTATTACTTTGGAGCACCTCTGGTTTTAATCGTGAAATTGAATGTACCGACTTTTTCCGATGTTTTTCACCAATTAATTTTGATAATGACAAATGGCCGTATCTGTAGGAGATAATAATGAGAACTAAAGGATATATCTCCAGGACATACGCCCCTTTACTTTCAGTCTTTTGATTGCTATTCTAGTCGGTCTCTAGGCCTCCATCAATTGTATCTCTTGATTGATATCCTCGTTCACTTGGAGCATAAACAATGACCAAGGGGCATAACTCCAAAGTGTAGGTTCTTGTTTTTTTTTTGCTTGTAACAATTTATTTCACGATTATACTAAGAATAACGAATATTTTCTCATTTCCTCGAGGATTTCTAAAATTAATTGAAAGTGGTGAAAATACGGCCAAATAGACCAGAAAGGCAAAATGAGCCCACTTCTTCAAGGTGTACGACTGATAATGGCAAAGAAGTGTAAGTGCGGAGTTGTAATTCGCATAATAAATGTGTTTTTTCAAGACGTATGATTAACAATGGCAACCAGCTGTGTGGAGTTATGTCCCAATTTGTCGGTGAAAATAGGCAATTACGCCCCTTTGGTAGAAATTTTTTTGCTAATACAATTTTGTTCACAAATTGGACGCAAAGTCGAAAAACCATTGAAAGGGAACATGCGCCCTTTTGGCTTTCATAAGGGGGTTTTCGGGCACTATGTTGAATTATTCCTAATTAATCTTCAAATACATTTGGAAGCTCAAGAAATGCTTAGTGTTGTTCTCTGGAATCTAACGAACATTTTAAGAAAAAAAGTCCAAATTGATTGAAAATTGTGGCGCGACGAGCATTTTAAACTCAAAAACACGACAAAATACGTTTTCGACTGACGTACGGGATAAAATCGATTGAGTACGAAATTTTTCTTAGTTTTTTAGATACCCCATGATATATCAAACGTCGCTCGATCATTATTTTTATCAACCGAAGACATTCAAATTTCATTCAAATATTTTTTCTCGTGTGCACTTATGACAAATTGGCAAATATACATCATGAATATACTGTAATTTTTTTTTATTGTAGGCATTTAAATCTTACGGTTTATTCTGCAGTAATATTACAATGATTTTGTATGAATTTACACAAATGATAATTCCTTACATACTTATTCCGTTGAACAAGTCCAATACGTAAGATTAGATTTAGGGGAGTTAGAAAAGTTGATAATTTTCATGTATTCAACTAGATACATTTACAGCTTAAGTAATGATTAATAGTTGGAGATATACTGTAATTAATGAATCATAATAAATATTCTAATTACCTGTTGGGTATCAATCGTATTGAAGATACTCCTCTGGTTCTCCGGTGGCAAATTATTCGTAAATTCCTCCCCGCAATTCTTCATCTCCTCAACGTCCTCCGGGGTGAAAAAATTCTCCAGCACAACGTACCCATCTTTCTGAATCTACAAAGCAAATTAAGCCAATGGAAACTGACTACATAAACCTAATTAAACTCCGGATGCATTAGACCAATGAGCCAGAAATGTTGTTGGTGCAATGACTCAAACGAAACATCTCCGAGTCCCCTGGCAGCACTTCAGAACCCCCGCGACTACGTCAATGTACCAAAAACCGACAACCTCTTCCTCTATTCCCATCCCCCGCCTTCCGTCAAACATACATCGTACATTCAATTTAGTTTGATTTGAGTTTGGTTTGTTCAGCGTTGTTTTGCAATCGAGTCATACCAGTCGACCACGCACATTTGGCTTTTACTATTTGCATCGCGTGACCGCAACCATTTTGTTTCACATGTCTCTGTTCTCTGTAAATTAATCTCAACCCGGTTGCGACCCTCCGATGAAGCTCTATAAAGTCGAATTTTATTATGAATTTGAAAGTTTTCATTCCCCCAAATGATTAAGCATGATTGAAATGCATGAATGCATAATGGACTAAAATTACAGTGTATTATATCGTCGATACGGAATTGAGAACAGTAACAGAAAGAGGCCCAACAAAGGTCACTCGTTATTTTTGGGTATCTCCCTTCCGGGATGCGTTGGTCAGTCGCAGGTTCAACGGAACCAGCCTAAACATAGCACATTTTTTCACCTCAAGCCCGAGAACAAAAAAAAAGGAGAAAACTCCCTCGTCCAATCAAAAAGGAGAAGGTACCTTGAGACTGTTTGGAACCGGATAAAAGAGAAACACGAGAAGAGGAATTCCAGTAACATTTTGAGAATGCGCTGGAGTTTAATAATAACCCGTGCATCGACAAATGACGAGTTAAAAATAAACCAACCCTGTTGTGGGTTGCGAGTATGCCCATGTCACTGGTATCCTGGCTTTCCCCCCACCCGCAGACCTCTGAAGAATGAAGAAGGATAGAACGATGTAAATAACCGAACACACTGAATAATCCCTTCTCCCTCGCACTGCTAGAAAATTACTTGTGAATTTCTAGTAAAAAATATTCAAATTGTTAACAACAACATATTTACATGCAATTTTCTGTACATCTTGTAGTTGATGGATCAGTCAACTTCTTGAATATTCAATGAAATTCTAGTTTTCAAGTCCATATGACAATGAAAAATCATTGAAAACTGTGAAAGTTTAAGCAATTATTGATTCGAATTTTCAATCTATCAAAAATTCAAATCAGTAGCGAAGTGGTCAAACGGTATAAGTCAATTTTGACTATTGATCAGTTTTCAATGAATATCTCGGAATCTAAGGGAGATAGCGAAATTATTATTATAACCTTTTTTGTAGAGCCGATTAAGTGCACCAATTAACGTAAGTATGAAAATTTTGCTATCTCCCTTAGATTCGGAAATATTCCTCAAAAACTCAACTGGGAGATAAGTCGACTTAAACCGCTTTACCACTTCGCTACTGAAATGAATGGAATATTCAATAATAATAATAGGTCTGGAAATTTAAGTTGCCATTCAAATAACCATTATCGCATAACATGAAAATCTCTATTTTGTTGAAGTTTTCAAATGAACATGAAATTTCAGAAGAAGAAGTTGATGAATCAGTCAACTTTTTGAATATCCAATGAAATTCCAATTTTTAGGTTCATATGACAATGAAAAAATATTGAAAGCTGTGCAAAATTAATTATTGGTTTGAATTTTCAATGTATCGAAAATTCAAATGAATGGAGTATTCCATATTAACAATAGATCTGGAAATTCAAGCTACCATTGAAATATCCATTATCGAATAACATGAAAATCTCTATTATGTTGAAGTTTTGAAATGAACATGAAATTTGAGAAGAAGTTGACGAATTAGTCAACTTCTTGACTATCCAATGAAATCCCAATTTTCAAGGCCATATGATAATGAAAAATCATTGAAAACTGTGAAAATTTAAGCAATTGTTGGTTCGAATCAGGGATGGCCATCAATCATAGGATTCTTGAATATTAAGAGAATTTGAGCCTTACATTAATTAAGGTTCATATGTAATCATCAAAATTAACTAAATTTCCAATTGTTGATGAATTAAATAATTGTTAATATTGGACTGTCAATTGTCCATTGAGTGAGTAATACTAAATTTCATAACGAGGTTTTTTGATCAACCAAATAATCGACAATCTCCCTAACTAAATTATTGATTGATAAAATAATTAAGAATTTGAATATTTAATGGATGATTAATATAACAATTAAAAATTGTAGAGTAATATTAACCAATTGACTAATTGAAGATTTAACAGTAATTCTAATTTTCGATTATGGCTATCTGCTTCGAATTGTCAATCTATCGGAAATTCAAATGAATGAATTATTTAGTTTTACAAGAAAAAAATGGAATATTTAGTTTTAACAACAGCTTTGGAAATTCAAGCTGCCATTGAAATATCCATTTTCACATGAACGTGAAAATCCCTATTTTGTTGAAGTTTTCAAATGAATACGAAATTTCATGCACGATTTGATCTTGAATTGAATTCAATTTCACAACATTGAGAATTCAGACGCAGCAGTTACTTGGATTTCAAAGAATTCCTAACAGCGTAGCTATTCAGGTAAAAGGTTGAGTGCTGTCTTCGTTCAACTCCCCAGTCCCTTTTCCTTGGCTGACCCTCTTGTCGAAAACGTCGAGAAAAGAGACAACAACGTGGAATCCCCATGAATTTAACACCCACTGACTTTGAACATCTCTCGGTTAAATCTGGTCAACACGAGGGTTATTTTTAGTATCACCTAACGCATACCTTTTGGAGCTTGGGTAGGCTGTAAACAGGAAAAGATAAAAATGTTGTTTGGGTATGACACGAGTTATTTATCCCCATGTACTCAATTCTGAAGAACTATAGGCCCCAAATGTTGGAATTCTCAATAATTCTTGCTTTTGAAACGGATAAATCGTTCATTGATCTGATATCAATTTATTAATCACTGCAGTGAGCCAATTGCATATCGCTCTTTGAACTTCACATGCTGGAAAGTGAGAGGTCCACGTAATTAAGTGGAATTTGAAACGGCGGATGAATGAGGCAGAGGTCGAAAATAATCACTGGCCACAGGTGGGCGGGATGACACACGATAACGTCACACGTACCATACGTCTTCGTAATTCAACTCGAATGAATCGCTTGCGAGTTAAAATAGATCAGGAAGCTTTGGGAACATTGAATGAAGAAGGCAAGATAGGATTTCCTCATTCTCGACGGTTTGACGATGACATTCACGGTCTCGCGAGTTATGTTGTTCCCTTTACGCTCTGCTTTTTCTCCACTTTTCCCCGGTGCACTTATGTAAATTCAAACTTGAAGCTCCGTTGATGTAGGTCAAGATTGATGCCTCGTGTTTTTCCTTTCATTTTCATGGAAAAATGTTGAAGTAATTTAGAGGAATGAATGCGGAATAAATGAGTGGTAATAGAGAGGAATATACACGAGTTATCCATCATCTTGGTTTCAACGCTGAGCGCTGATTACAGAAGTATCAAAATAAGGACGGACGTATGACCTCTTGAAGTGGTTGCGAGTGAGAGGGATTATTATAGCAAGCCAGCTCAGACTAGTCGACACCGACCGAGGGATTTTATTTCATTTTCTACGTCACCAATTTTAATTGAGAATCTCAAAGTTCATTTATTCATTATACTCAGCTATTTATTGGGCAATTAGTTTATGGTGATTGAAGACATCAACTCACCTGCGCGTTTATGTCTTTCATGTTGATCGTTGCACTAAAATAATCAAAGGAGATAATTTTCCACGCGGATAACTACTGCTACTATCATGCACGTCTTTATTATTATTCTCCCGGCAATTTTTATCTTCGCAAGGAAAATTGATACAAAACTTGCTCACTTCCTCGTCTATAACATCGGTGGACTGCTTTTACACGGACTGATGATGAAGACTCCGGAGGAGCGCAAGCCACATATATATCACCCACACAATTCTAATCGCTACTACAGACACCAGCAAAGTGACGAAGCGGCAAGCGTGAGCTGCGCGATAGACGTATATGTTTTTTTATTCAACTTGGCAACTGTTTACACATGTCTTTTATTTCATCCATATGTACTCGAATGCTCCCGATCTTTCAACGAGCGCCTTCGACCTTTGTACTATACCTTATTTGAGCGCTGTTTGTTTGTTGTGAACGTTGTCAGTCATAATTATCGTTACATTGGCATTCGAGTGATTATTTGTTTTCGTAAGAGTCAAGTAAGCCAGACGCAATCAAGCGGATAATATATTTTTAAAAATAGAATGATTAGTCAGATGATACTGTGTGTATCAAGATATCCTCTAATATTCTGTGACATACACTCTTAGCCATTTTTTGAAATTTAAGTAAGTGCTGCATTTAAATTTTCGGTGTTAAAAATTTTGATTCAATTGTATAGGAAAGATAATTTAAATAAGATAAAGACTCGTTAAATCACTCCCTATTTGATACTTGAAAAAATGGACATTCGGCCATGGTTCAGGCCGAAAGCGCTCAACCGATTGAGACACATAATTATATTACACTGTTAGGAAAAGAATGAAATTTCGAGTTTCACTGAAAAGGCGGCAAAATTCCAGCATTTTAAGCAGCCTGCAGACGAGAATTCCTTAATTTATTTGAATTTCTAATCTAATATGAATATTCAGTGCCAAATGACATTGAATTTTCAGTGAAATATGAAATTTCATAATTTTTTCCCCCTAAATTACACTCAATGTCACTGAAAATTGAAGAATATATTTACGGGAATTTTCTGGTTTGCAAAAATGGAACTGAAATTTACAGTTCTCTTTGATTTTTTCACGAAATTCTGAATTTTCAATCAAGCAATTCCTTGAAATGTCAGTGGTAATTAAATTCGATAAAAATTTCCAAAAAGTGTATCGGAAAATTCAGACAAAAATTTTGAACACTGTATTGATCAATTATTGTTTGTTTGATAACACATCATTGTACTTACAATATGAATCTACAATATACGGACGAATGTTCATTCCTTCAATTGTTAAATGGGGAGTAATTTAATGAGTCTTTACCTTATTTAATCCTTTGCTTCGTCTAACGGTTCCCCACTTTTTGCCGTTTTGTAGTGATGTGCGTGCGCTAGCGTGCTTCTCTTATGGCGCACTAATGCTCGCACGGACCCCCCACTCCTCTCGCATCAAGGCGATTCGAGACTTACGCGGAGAAATGGGTTATATTATTCTTCCTACACAATTTAAGATCAACTCGTTCCTGAACTTCTTATTCATCTTGAATTTTTTTTATTTTTGCCATGTTATAGTTCCACTTAAATTTCAAGGAATTTTGTGTTTAATAATTGAAAATTTTATCGAAAAATTAATAGAAAGTGAACATTTCGGTTCAATCATTCCATGAAAGTTACGAAAAATCTAGAAAATTCAAGTAATATGCTCTTGAAAACAGCATTTTTATTAAATTTTCCAGAAATGCACTGATTCGCCAGTAATAATATACATATACGGGAATTTTACGTGAGTCAGTGCTTGTTGATGCTTTCAAGATTTTTTCCTTAAAATTTCACGAGAAATTTTCCAACAGTGTGTATTTGTATCCACTGACCGCCAATTTTCTCTGCTGATTAGTTTCGACTGATTAAATGAAGAAGTGTTGGTCGATTGAAAAATAAAAATAAGTGAGATATAATTCTTTCCCCCCTGTGGACATTAGCACGTAAAAATCCGACAGTTTTATTTATCCGTTATAGCCCAGAGTGTCCCAAGAGTTTATCAAACGAGGTGAAAAGATCCCGAGACATGCAGACATCCGTGGAGAACTGTCAAGGCTGCCATAAAATAACTAATATTTATTCGAATCAATGAGTGATTCTGATAGTCGACTTCACTGGAACAATCTAATTTTAGTGTTGAGAAGAAAACTGCCAACTACACGTGTAGATGTTCAAAGTTTGTCGAAAGAGAATAAATTGGTATACCCAGCGCTGATAAGGCAATATGAGATGAACTCCTTTCGATTCGAGAGCGAAGGGGTTTACCGTTTAAGATTAGACAGTATGATCCCGGAACGAATTGTGGTGGATAACGTTTTGATGAGAATAAACCGCACGTGGACCAGCAGTGATCGTGTGGATAGGAATTGATATGGGATGCGGATGGCGCCCACTACTGGGGTTGCCACTGTGCCTCTTCGGGTCTCCGGGGTTAAATATTCTGTTTGTGTTGTTGTACAAGTTCTACTTCGCTTGTTAATCATCTCTCACTTTCCTCAGAGTACAATTTTTGTCATTTTTATCTTGTCTAGTCGAAAGACTTTTTTTCCCGACAGTCAAGAAATAAACACCATGCGGTGATGAAAATTATCTCCTCTTATCGGTTGAGAAACCTTCAGGAATTCTATTCTTGATTTTCTCTTTTTTTTCTAACACTCAATGAAGATAAAAGTAAGAGTGTTACTTCAATTCCCATTTCTCTTCCATGAGGAATGAGGAAGTATGTATTCATGGAATACAATGGAGTGTGCGTACCGTATGCATCAGTGCATGTCAGTGGGTGCAAGTACACTCGACCTGACGACTCGATAAGCATCATTGGCATTTCATTAATAAAAAGCTTACACAGTTGGAAATTTTTTGAAATTTCATGGAAGATATCATTGTAAATCTCATGAGAGTGACATTGAATGGAATTTAAGGAAAAAATGGTTATAAAATTTCAAGTTTTAAGGGGAGACTACTATGTGTTTTAAAAGTCGCCGGCGATTGGAGTGAGATTTCTCATACATTGAAGATTGATTATATGATTTTTTTCAGCAAATCAATTCCAAGGCACGTACTTGTTTTGTTTGTTGGCAAAAACGTATGTTTTTTTGGGAGATTTTTCATGCATTGAAGATTGATTATATATGTCTAAAAACGAATAGTTAGTGCAAAAAAATTAATTGTTTATTGTTCGTTTACCCCGCAGACGCTTAAAATGTTAAAGATAGTCCAGGGCCTCCAATTTTTGAGCTACAGAGATTTCTTGTTTTTCAAAATTTTTGAAAAAATGTGTTCCATAATAATTACGAATCAATTTTTTTACATTCGATTCCTACCCAGCTAATTTCGTTTTATTAAAAAAAAATTATGTCATTCATGTAAAATAGGCAGAAAATTTATCCTTAAAATAGTTCAAATATATTCTCGATTCTTTCAAAAAGATTTATTGGGTTATTTTACATAGTGCATTTTTTTTATAAAAAAAAATAACGAAATTAGGTGCGTAGGGGTTGAATTTCAAAGAACTAATTCGTAATTGTTATTGTACACATTTTTTCAAAAATTTTGAAAAAAAAGAAACCTCTGTAGCTCAAAACTTGGAAACCCTGGCCTATTTTTATCATTTTAAGCGTCTGTGCGGCGAACGAACAATGAACAATTGATTTTTTTGCACTAATTATTTCTTTTTAGACATATATAATCGAACTTCAATGTATGAGAAATTGCAATTCCAAAAGCCCGTGACTTTTAAAACTCATAGGAATCTCTCCTTAAGTAGAATTCACGGAAATTCATGAGTTTTCAGTGGGAGAGAGATGGAAATTTCACAACTTCATTGAATTTTCAGTGGAACATGAATATTCAGAAATAAAATGTCATGAATTTTCAATTTTTACCTGAATTTTCCTGATTTTTCTGAATTGTCACAGAATAATTGAACTGTAAAATCAACTAATTTATTGATTTCCAGATCATTTCAACAGAAAATCAATCGAATATTTGATATTTCAATGACAAGATTGCCTGAAATATTAGTGGAACTTGAACACGACAAAAATTTCCGGAATTTGGCACGGAAAATTCAGACGAAAATTTTCAATAGTGTAGCTTCGATAATGAAATAATCATGACTGAGATTTTTGAGATGTCTGTCATCGTGACATTGGGTTATCGCATTTATCTACCATTCAGGGATTATTCTATGAGATGTGGCATGTGGCAGAGAGGAGGGAAAAATTTCCGCCACGCGAATTCTCTGATAACCCATGCAGGTATTGATCAACTTTATCGATCATATGAAGACTTAAAAACGAAAAAACCTCACCGATGCTCGTGACGGAACTCCAATTTCGAAACCCTGTATCGTTTAATTCCTCCGTATTTATATTCCCATTATCAAAACAAATACATGACCAAAGACAATTGAATCTTCATTCGCTATATCGTCAGTACATCCGCGACTACCTCGTACATCAGTCTTTCTTCAGCTGGGGATGAGACACACACAGGGGGTAGACAGGAGCATATAAATGCGCGGTGATCTGGGTCCATGAGACTTATTAGAGTCGAGAGTAGCCGCAGCGAGAGTAGTGGATAAAGCGGGAGTGATAGCATCAAGTAGTTCTGGTGCAAAAAAAGGATCACCCTCTCGTGTTGACATATCATTGTAACATACGTGTACACACGTACTCATACCAGACGGAAATTGCCAGTTGGTTTTTGTTGTCACTCGAGTGTGCGTGTCGGCTGCCTCATTTCTTATTTTCCACCCAATCTTTTCGTTTTTCACGTCTTCCTCAACAAGACAAAATTACCTCCTACCCCTCCCCTCCCCCCCGGAAAGCCAGGGAAATTCGCCTGTCTCACTCACACGCGAAAAACATCAAGTTAACCAACTACCCACCCTCGTCCCTTCGTTCAGTCACCTCTTGTAAACCCACCCCCTCCCCAACCTCTCTTTACACTAGTATTTTTTCCTTTCTCTCTCTCTCTCTCTCTCTCTCTCTCTCTCTCTCTCTCTCTCTCTCTCTCTCTCTCTCTCTCTCTCTCTCTCTCTTTCGCTCTCTCTCTCTCTCTCGCTCTCTTTGAGAATGTAATACCAACCACGAAAAATAATATCATGAGAACGCTCTCCTTATCATTTGGCAACACACACGTACAAGTATTTGTTACACATACATAGGTAAAAAGCCCATTTACCATCCCCCTCTAAGCCACCTGTCCAGGGCTGACTAGTAGACGACCCGAGCATTCATGGCGCCGGGCTCAAGTCTCACGATCGATTTCGCGTGTACATGTTTGAACGTTGGAAAAAACAAGAATACAGTAGTTCCAACCAGCGTCAGAAGTTGAGGTGAAAGCCTAAGCGTCAGTTACGAGGGGAAAAAAATCAAATCAGCTCGCGGATTAAAAAGAAATTTGGCGAAGAGAAGAGCCCTCTCATCTGGGTCATCGGTAATAGTTCATAGAGTCCTCTTGTCCATGCTCCTTCACGTTGGATGAATGCCAAGGCATCGTGTGAGGTGACGCGACATTCGAGGGTCGTTTGAGGGTCAGCTTGGAGGTGGTCAAGTAGGGGAAAATACCGCTGACCAATTGATATATTTCGGTGAGTATGTCTGATGCTTAATTAGAGTGCTTTTGTTTGATAATAGGTATACTTTGGAGTGGAGTATGATTTCACTGGACCACTCGATACTCTAAAAATAAATATACCATTGTTTCATGATAAATTCAATCGTATGGATCGTCTGAGTCTATCAGTTGAGGCATAATCACTCGACCCTAATTGAGGTGGAGTAGTTGCAATCAATCATCAATTGTTTTATTAGCAATAAAACCACCGGGTCATTTGTTTGCCTCTATCCAATGCCAATTGTTATCATGTAGCGCCACTTAGTCCATATCCCCGTATACCGTTTTCCCCACAATCTCGCAAAATCCCGTTCGGCCAGACATTACACTCGCAATCACGGGGTAAACACGATTGTTATTCGAGGAATATCCCCCTCACGGTTTTAAAATAATACCAGTCTTCATTTTCTCTCCAACAATTTCTCTTTTTATCGTATTTTATTTTTTCATGTTTATTCTTTTTTTTTTGACATTTTATTTCATTTCTTTTTCCTCCCACTTTGTCGCTCGTTTTCCTTCGGCCTTCGCGCAAAGGTCGCCTCGCGGTCGTTCCGCACCTCCTGGAATGCCAAAACGAGTTTGTTTATCAAGTAAAAAAGAAAATAATAAATGGAAAAAGGAAGCGAAAAAAGGAGGGAAAAACCACAGAGAGTTTGTTTACTGGAGTTTGGTCTATTTAAAGATATTCCGTAAATAGAATCTAATTATACATCCACGCAATATCTGTCCCGCAAGACGCGAAAACCGGTATTAATAAAGGTGGGAAAAGGCTCATAATATCAATTGCGGATGGATTACTTGATTTCATTTCAATGTTGATAGCCGGGAGAATCTCTAAGTGATACAAATTCATGTTGTTTACGATGTTTTGTTGAGAATTTGTTATCTATGATCTTTCCTTTTTACACGATAGGTCTTATGAGATAACCCATTATGGACATTAGAAGTTATCTTTAGAGACCACGGTACTGTCTTTATCGGGAGCCTCAACCCTGATTACGAGTATTTTTGTACAAAAATACATCGTACCCTCCACGTGGTTGTTCACACATAGTAGTCATTATTTCTCACGTTTTGTTTTCTGCCATTGAGTGATTGTTATTTATCATCATCTGCATCACCTGCCCCCATCAGGGATTTCAATGCTTGATACAGAGATCTCTTTGTAAAATTCCGAGGTATTTTAACTGTAAACAAGTGGAAAGTTGCTCTTGTATTGTATATGGTATTGTTATTTTTGATAAAAATTGTTTCTTTTGCATATTATTTCCTTCTATCATGTAGAATTCATTCTTCATTTCATTTTATTAAATCGAATAAGATTTCCTTCCACCTAATTTTGTCAGGTTTTCAACTTAGTTGAATGATAAAATGGGAAAATGTTATTCATAAATAATTAAATGGATTTGGAAATCACATTTGAAGAAATCATCAGAAAGCTCACTTTCAGGTAAATTCCTGAAAAATTCAAAATTTTCAACAATCATCATAAAAATCAAATCAGCCAATATAGCTATCGCAATCATCTTTCAACTTCGGCTTAATGGCATCATAACAAACATTTCAAGCTATGATTGAATTCATTTGAAGCACAGTATTCAAAGTTATCCCCGGAATTCAAATTTTCAAGAAATACAAATTTTTTTTTAATTTTCGAATAAATCACAGTAACGATGGACGTCTTCAGCTCCGAACTCAGCCAAAGGAACATCCAAACAACAAATGTTTAAAGTCATCATTCAATCAATTCAGAACATTTTTTTTAGTTATCGTCAGACAACCGATTTTCGAAAAAAATCAAAAGTTAAACAAACTAATCGATGAAGTAAATTTTAATTGAGCGATCGATGCGGCTCAACAATACCTACATTTAAAAAGAAAAAGATTCAATTCCGTCCATTCATTACCGAACAATTGAAGAAAAACTTTACCACATACATACGTACGGACACGATCTAAAAATTGAATTTTGGGATTTTTTGGATCATAATGGGTCGATATAACACAAAAAACCCAAAACACCAATTTGAACGATGCAATTCGGAGGCAAAAAATCCACTAAAAGTATTGATCGATTGATCAAGTAAATCAATCCTTTTTCCCATTTTCCACCATTTCATGATTTTTTGTACTTATTCTGGGACATCTCTGATGAGTCCTCGTGAGAGTCACTACAGAGGCCCGCTGGCCCCCGGATACGGTCGCGGTCACGAGTCAGAGAAGTGAGGGTGGGGCAAAACACATCACTACAATCTCTGCAACGCCTCGCTCTAGGCTTTTTAAGGGCTGGCTAGGGTCTCCAGCCTCCCAGTCATCAGCGAGCTTCTGACGACTCGTTGAGCTCACTCCAACTCGGCGTGTATCTTTATCGAGGATAACAACGAAAATTATTGTTGTATTTCAGACACCTGGGTTACTGGAAATCAGTACAAATCATGAGACACACTCTGCTTGGATTTCTGCTGATAGCTATGATATGTGGCTCCAAAGCTGAAGCGAGTTACGTCTGTCTTGAGGACAATCCTGATCTCCAGCCTTGCAATTTTGAAAGGTAACGGCCAGTTTTTTATTTATTGTTCAGAATTTTCATTGCCTAGTGGGGAAGTGATGTAATGTTTGGATTTGATTCGATTGTGAAGGATGCAGAGGGCTCCTGTCAGGGGTGATTTGGAGAAAAAAACGAGGATTAGTAATGGTGCTGTGATGGAAAGTCTGTATCAGGCTCCCGATGGTACTGTTGTCATTTATAAACTCGAGGGCTGTGTTCCTAGAAGGTAAGAGTATTTTGCATTACTAGTAAACAAACACGGAAGTGAAGTGTTGTAATAAAAATGTGGGGTTCGTTTAGATTGCCATTCACATTGCCAATATGCAAGACTGAAGACACTGTTGGCCGTGTTGTGGAGGTCAGAAGGCTTTTTCCATTCGTCATCTCCGGTGACCCGCCTACGGCGCCACTCATTTTTCCGGAAGTCGAAGCCGCACAGCTGTATAAATCCACAGGGGTTCTTCAGGAGAAGATGTATAATCCTGTGATTGTAAGTATTTCTCTATATTCTAAAAATCTACAGCGACTTCTGGTGATAAAAATTTAGTACTTGAAATTCAGACTCCGAAATTAAGGGCCATGAGGGTCGGAATAAGGGCTATGTGGATAAGAATAAGGGTCATGAGGGTCAGAATACGGGTCCAAATAGGGGCTACAAGAGACAGTTTAAGGGTTATGTGGGTGAGATTAAGGGTCACAAGGGTCGGATTAAGGGCCCGAATAAGGGTAACAGGGCTCAGATTAAGGATGACACAGGTCAGAGTAAGGGTCTAAATAAGGAACATAGTGGTCAAAAACCAAGGGTCAGAAGTCAAGGGTCACTAAGGTTAAAATAAAGTGCACAAGGGTTATAATGAGTGTCAGATTAAGGATTCAAATGGGGGTCACAAGGGTCAGATTTAGGATCACAAAGGTCTGATTAAGAGTCCAGATAAAGGTCATGTGGGTTAAAAACTAAGGGTCATAAGGGTCAAAATAAGGGTCTCAGTATCTCTCTATTATTGTAAAAAACCAAATCGACGTTTGGTGATGAAAATTTGGTGCTCAAAATTACGACTCCCAAATTAAGGGTCAGAAATGAAGGGTCGCTAGGGGTATAATGAGAATCACGATGAGGGTCATAAGGGTCAGATTAAGGATCACAAAGATTTGATTAAGGGTCAAAATAAAGGGCATGGGGGTCAGAAACTAAGGGTTACAAGGGTCAAAATAAGGGTCTTAATATCTCTCTATATTGTAAACATCCAAATCGACTTTTGGTGATGAAAATTTGGTGCTCGAAATTAAGACTCCAAAATTATGGGTCAGAAGTGAAGGGTCACAATAAAGCTCGCGAGGGGTATAATGAGGGTCACGAGGGTCAGAATAAGAATCATGGGGGTCATAGAGGGGTTAGCGAGCGGAGCGAGCAGGGGGCATAGCCCCCTAGTTTTTTCTATTATTCCACTCAAGCATTTGTTTTTCATTCAACCATTGAATTTTTTTTTGTTTTTTTAAAAAATAGAGCAGACAAGACTTGAACCTCGACAAGGAGACTTCAACCAAGGTTTCTCGTAGGAAGAAGAAATTAAATTTGGAAAATTTGAAGAAAAATCGCAAACACGAGAAAACAATGGACGCCGAGATGATGGAAACGATGGGCGTTTCATCGATCCTTCCTTCCCTCTTCAAGTCTAAACATTACAGGAGGAGGAATGACATCGACTCTAGTGAGGGATTGAAGAAATCTACAAGGAGTGGTCGTCAATTTTTCGAGGCCTCTCTTCCAGAGTACGAGTTCCCATATGCTCGGGCGATTCCTTACGATCTCGTGCAGATCAGACGGCTCCTCCATCTACCAAAGGACTCACTGGGGACTGATGAGTATACAAGACACGGGGGTGAATTCCCCTATTCTCAAGCCATTCCCTTCGACCCTGAGAAGCACAAAAATCTTCTCCACGAATCGGAGGAGAGGCGTCATCATCCAGTGGAAGTACCAAAATACTTTCCGTACGATGAAGCTATTCCCTATGACCCACTGAAACTCGAGCAGTTGCTCATGTGGGTCAAGAACCGCGAGGACTTGCCAGAATCGAAGATGTGGAAAAGGGAAGTGATAAACGAGGGTGATGAGTTCCCTTACAACAAAGCAATACCCTACAATCACTGGAAAGTATCGGAATTCAGAAGGCGACTTGAGGCACGATCACCGGGTCATGTTAAAGAATAAAAAGAATATGGAAAACATAATTTTGAACTGAAGTTTTACGGCAGTTTGAAGGATAAAAAGAATAATCAAGTCAATTTTATGGACTTCAAATCGAGAGATAAAAGAGGAAAAATAATTTATGAATTATCTTACTGAAGGCTCGGAAAATTCCTCTCGATGTTTGGCGTGTTGCCGAGAAATATTGTGATACGTATACGTAAGGCATGTCTACTATTTTTTTTATTATAGTCAATTCTTTGTGATTACACACGAATAATCACATTGACAAGAGACAAGTGCTTCTCTCTGTTAAATATAAGGATATAGTAAATTCTTTGTAGTATATTAATGAATATTAGTAGGTCAAAGGCTCATGTAACCACTGCAAATAGTTTATTTCCATATAATCATGTCGAATCACAGAAAAAAAAAGCTCTCTATACGCACTCTCATCATTATTTGCTAGAAAAACATTGTGAATTATGCGAAGGCAATAAAGCATATTACAAGTTTGATTTTTTTTATTATTTATTATTCGATTTTTCGCTCTTTTTCATTTTTCAAAATAATAGACTAGACGTCATCCTCTGCGTCCTCATCCGTATCAAGTGCGGCTTCGTCGGGATCTTCGACATCTCCTGTGATATTTACAGTGGCTTCTAGGATGTCTTGCAGCCTCTCCACTGCATTTGGAGAACCGTCAGCTTCGTAAGCATTGATTGCATCAGCAATAGCTTTTGATGCCTGTCGTGGGTCTGTGTCTGGAAGAGATTCTAATAATTCTGGCTGTGGCACCTCGGCATTTGATTCAACTTCCACGTTGTCGTTAGAACTGATAGTCTCAAATTCTAATTGAGATTTTTTCGTATCATTAGCAGATCTTGTGTCAAAAACTTCTTCTGTTTCTTCAGAAACTGGGGAATTATTTTTATCTTTAACATCGGTGAAAAGCACTTCGTCCGTGAGATTGACGCCCTGTTGGTCCTCAGTAGTGAATTGTTCATTAGGTTCAGTCACATCAGTTGCCTCTGTTGGTGATGGTTCAATTTCTGATAGAGCAGCTGCAGTTGTCCAGGTTTCGTCTGCTGAAAGAGTTTCGGTTGATGAGTCTTCTGGTATTTCGGTAGCTTCAGTTGAGGAATCTTCTGGTGTTTGAAAAACTTCAAGGGATAAAGATACTGGTACTGCAGTTACTTCAGTTGATGGACCTTCTGATATTTCAGTAGCTTCAGTTGATTGATCTTCTGGTGTTTCACTAGCTATAGTTGATAGATCTTCTGAGATTTCGGTAGCTTCAGTTGATGGATCTTCTGGTATTTGAGTCGCTTCAGTTAACTGACCTTCTAGTGGTCCAGTAGCTTCAGTTGATAGATCTTCTATGGGTATTTCGGTAGCTTCAGTGGATGGAGTTTTTAATACTTCAGTAGCTTCTGTTGATGGAGCTTCTGGTGGTACAGTAGCTTCACTTGATGGATCTTCAACTGATATTCCAGTAGTTTCAGTTGATGGTTCGTTTGTTATTCCAGTATTTTCAGTTGAGGGCCCATCTTCTTTTGCTGCCGTTGATTGAACTTCTGGTACTTCAGTAGCTGCGGTCGATGGAGTCTCTGACTTTTCAGTATTAGCTTCAGCTGATTGAACCCCCGTAGGGGCTTGGACTATTCCGGAAGAAATTGGAGCTTCTGGTTTTGTATAGCATCCGCCCACTTCACTGGAGGAATCAGTTGTTGATGATTGCGCGCCGGAGACTGGACATTTGATGACCTGTTGAAATAAAAAAGTTATTAATATTATGTACCTACAATAAATGAAATTGAGTGTATATTGAACTCTGATCGGGCGAAATCCAAGTACAACGAATAAGCTAAAATGAAGAATACGCGGTGAAACAATTCGTTCATGCGAAAAAAAAATTAAGCCGAGTAGCTCAAATACCCGGAAAATGTTTTTTCGTGTCACGGGACCTGAAAAACGCCAATTTCGTGGCGCGCAGCGCCCTGTCCCTCAACACGAAAGTTAATATACACACCGCCCCATGGAAAACATATCACCCTCCTCCATGTGCTTGCCATCCTCGCCTTCGGCTCGGAAGGCAATCTTGCACGTGGGGGATGGTGATCTGTTTTCCAAGGCTCGGGCATGTAATGTACTATTGAAAGAATCGAGAATATCATTTCAATATTTTAAGGATAATTGCTCATTTTATATGAATGGTGCAAATTTTTATATTAAACAAAACGAAATTAGCTGTGTAAGAGTTGAATTTCAAAAAACTAATTCGTAAGTGTTATAGCACACATTTTTTCATAAATTTTGAAAAAAAATAAACCTCTGTAGCTCAAAAATTGGAGGCCCTGGACTATCTTTAACATTTTAAGCGTCTGCGGGGTAAACGAACAATAAACAATTAATCCTTTTGGAATAATTATTCATTTTTAGACATATAATTGATCTTCAATGTATGAGAAATCTCGTTCCAACAGCCCGCCACTTTAAAAACTCATAGTAGTCTCCCCTTAAGAATATATACAGGTCGTTCCATCAAATCTCATACGTCAGTCCTGTCATAAGGATATCCAAGGATCTTTTATAGTTTTGTACACACTACACAAAATCATCAAATGTGTCAATTAAATTGCGTGATAAAAATTTGAAAAAAAATCATGAATATTCAGCGTCATTCAAATTGCATTTTGCCCAGAATGATTGTTTTTTTAACATTCGTTGTTTATAAACAGATAATTGAAGTTGTTTAAACTTTCGGAAACCTTATTTTTTCATACATGAAATCGATTCCTGGCAAAGTTCTGAATATTTCTTTTTATCGTTATTTTACATCGCTTCGACCCGGTTAGGGTATATTGCGTTGATGATCAAGACTTTAAATGGTTAGATCGCACCGTTCTACTCAAAAAAAATATTCCGGATTCCGAATAAATAATTTTCATGGTGGAAAATAGATTGTTCATAAGTTATTTATTGAAAATGCTCCTAATTTTCAAAAATTGTAATTTTTAAATTATTTAATGAAACTTCTTTCAAAAGTAAACTTTCTAATTTTTTTTATATTAAAAAAATGTTTTTTAACGATTCAATATCGAGATTTAAATTCAGACCTGCAAAGTTTAAATAATCAAATCATTGTAAAATGTTCGAAAATTTAGGATCAAATGGGGCTCCTATGCAAGCTCTGACGTTTAACCCATTGCTTCGCGTAAGTCTCGAATTGTCTCGCTGTGACAGGAATGGGGAGTCCGTCCCAGTATTAGTGCGCCATAAGAGAAGCATGCTGGCGCAGGCACACCACTGCAAATCGGGGAAAAGTGGGGTACCGCTAGACGAAGCAAAGGGTTAACTACAAAAGTAGAAAAGTATTTCACTGTAGAAGAAATAGCTAAAGTAAAAATTTTACTACGTCTTTTAAAACACAAAATTTTGCAAAAAAACTAAAGATAAAAAAAATTGACTTCGTGTATACAATACAATTCTAATAAATTTGGCTGAACAAATTCGGTCTACTAAATGTTCATGAAATCACATCGGGGCGGCCCGAGGTGAAGTCGAGGGCTGCCGATAACACGAGCTGAAAATTCCCGTCTCACATGTGTTGAACAATATTTGTTCACAGTAATATTACGTTTAACGAGTGGTCGAACTGCGCTTTTGTCGTTTACAAGTAAACGAAAAAGCACTTTTCGACACGAGGTGAATGTAATAGTAGTGTCAAAATAATATGTTTCAATACGAGTGCATAAAAGTGTTTTTTGGTCAAAAAACACGAGTATGGAACTCTTTTTTCATCACAACGTGTGAAAAGTTTTGCACGTGGAGCGTGCGTAAAATTTCACTTTACACACAAGTGATGAAAAAATTCTAAAGCCACGAAGCTACATCAGCTATGTGCGAAAACACCTGACTATAATCAATTTTCCATTAAAAAAAATATTTTTGCGAAACTCCAAAAAAATGTTCATATTCAAAATTCTATTCGAGCTTGTTTTTATTCCAATCAAAATGAAGTTTCTGAAGTATTGAAAATTTCTATCATTCATTTATAACGATTTGAAGGAGAAAAACTTACGTTATGTTGTTCACCATAAGGTTTTGTCTCTCGATACTTGAGGAAGTAATCGAACACCGGGGACAGCTGGTTCTCTCCAGGGGGGCTCGACGTTTGTTGAGGCCCTTTCGAGGCCACTCCGAGTTTGTAGATTACAGGACCTTGGTAATCTATTTTCAACAGCTGCGGTGAGGAATTTGGGAAAAATTTCTGGAAGAGTCCAGATGTGACCTGAAAATTCTTTTCGTCGAGTCCCTGTGCAGATGGTGCAGGGGCGGTCTGGGCCCCGAAATTCTCCTCGCTTTGAATTGATTTCACAGTGTCCAGGGTGGGCCTGTTAGAGAAGTTATTGTTGGACTTGTAAGAAATGTCATGCAGCTCCTGTTTCTCCGCAACATTCACCATAAACGCGGAATTCCGCATTGCGTCTCCACGTTCACCATCAAATTTAGCATCAGCCTCTCTTTTTCTGAACATCTTGAATGCGGGTGTCCATTGTCTAGTTTCGTAGTTGACAGGAGACACACGGGACAACAGAGGTAAAGTGAACAAGCTTCGTTTATCATGAGCTGATCGGGCCTTATATATAGTAATGTTCCCCTGGGACGCACCGGTTTTTATTTCTTCGTAATTTGTGCAAATCGGATATTCGTCACCAAGATAACGGACATCCGTGAAGAGAGTGACAATCACCGGGGAATCCACGATTTTCGTCGGCTCTTTTTTGAACTCTCTATACCAAGAGGTCGCCGGAGTTATCACGAGGTTCTGTCCCTCGCGCTTACCCCAGAACAAAGCATTGCTCTTAGGCCCAAAAATATTTAAGTTTTTTAACACCAGGGTGTGATTTCTCAGGTTTTCACTGTCACCAGGATTTGTCCAGGCGTGTCTCCGCACGCTGAGACTCTCGAAGACCATCGGACTTATCAACCGGACGGGTGATTGATCATTTTCCGTACCTTGAGATCTGTTGTCTTCGCGGTTGAATTGCACTGGTTCACGATTCAGTTTTGATGGCCGATTAATCATCGAAGCGAGAACTTGTTCATAAATAACACAAACAGACTGACGCCACTTGATATTTTCCCGATTATCATTTTGTCCCGCATTATTTGCTCCGTCCGCGGGAGTATCTCTCACGTCCAGAGCATAAGTGCTCACCAAAATAAAGAGAAAAATAAAGTAAAACTCCATGGTGTTGGATTCTTCTCGAGGTTCTACACCATTGACAACTTGAGGAAAACTGTGACCTTCCGGGGTGCGCCTGCCTATCTATAGGAAAACTAGAAGCATGTCCGAGCCAATGAGAGGCCCAATAATTTCCAAGGGGGATGGATTTGAAATGAAATTTTTGAGGCTGGAGTGTGGGGGAGGGGGAAGTGGGGAGTAACAGAGGTTTTCCTAATGTATTCGGGTAAGCCGGTTGGGATGCTTGACGGCCGCCGCCGGCATTGTCTGTCTTACCTGCGCCAGGTAATCCCCTTACTGTAGGCCGACCGGACGGATCGAGACGAGAATCTACTGCCGGCGACAATGCTCGAGCATTACCTCTTCATCGGTGAAATATCTTTCAATACCCCCCGCTACCTGAACCTCTTAATGATCATTTTATGATCCTACAAAAAAATTCCTGTTCAAAATTTCATTCCAACAATTTCAACAGACGAAAAGAATGAAGGACTGGTAGAGGGAGGGAGGGGGAGCTGTGTTTGAGTGTTCTCGATTCTGAAAACGATTTAAAATCAAGGATTAAGACCTGCGTCATCATTGAAAATATCCACGTACAGAGTAGCAGACCTGGACACGATCTGGTCATGTTTGGAAGTCGCTCAAGTGGCATATCCCCGTCCTCTTGTCTTGCGAAAGTAACACAGCTCTCCCGGTGTGGGTTTGGGTCAAACGACGATGACCAAAATAAAATACGATTTTTTTAGAGCGAATGAATTTTAATGCATTAAGGATATCCAAGTATCTTTTACAGTTTGGTATAGACCGCACTATACATTTAACCATTTTCAACTATCAAATTTGTCAATTAAATTGCGTGAGAAAATTTTTAAAAAAAGCATGAATATTCAGCGTCATTAAAAGTACTTTTTGGACAGAATTATTGTTTTTTTAACATTCGTAGTTTATAAATAACTAATTGAAATTGTTTAGACTTTTGGAAACCTTATTTTTTTAGCTATGGAATCGATTTCTGGTCAAATATCTGAATATGAATAAATGTGATACGATTCCGAACAAATGATTTTTACGGTAGAAAATTGATTGTTTTTGAATTACTTATAGAAAATGCTGGTAATTAAACAAAATTGCAATTTTTAAATTCCTTCATCAAACTTTCTCCAAAAGTAAGCTTTCTAATTTTTTCTTTGGATTTTTAAGATGTTTTCTAACGGTTCAGTATCGAGATTGAAACTTAGACCTATAAAGTTTGACTAAAAAAATCATTGTAAAATGTTCGAAAACCTAGGGTCAAATGGGGCTCAAATGAAAGCTCTGATATTTGACTACAAAAGTAGAAAAGCATTTCACTGGAGAAAAAATAGCCAAAGTACTTAGATATCCTTAAATTGCGTGAGAAATTTGAAAAAAATCATGAATAATCAGCGTAATTGAAGTTACATTGTGCACAAAATTATAAAGTTTTTCAACATTCGTTGTTCATAAATGAATAATTGAAATTCTTTAGACATAATTAGATTAAAATAATTTTTTGAGGCATATGAAATCGATTTCTCGTAAAGTTGTGAATAGGAATAAATTTTTTACGATTCCGAACGAACGATTTTTATGGTAAAAAATTGACTGTTTATTAATTATTTATAGAAAATGCTTGTAACTAAAAAAATTGTAATTTTTTAATTATTTGATCAAACTTTCCCCAAAAGTAAATTTTCTAATTCTTTCTTTATATTTTTATAATGTTTTTTAACGGTTCAATATCGAGATTAAACTGTAGACCGGCAAAGTTCAAATAATAAAATGATTGTAGAATGTTCGGAAACCTAAGGTCAAATGGGGCTCAAATGAAAGCTCTGATATTTGACTATAAAAGCAGAAAAGCATTTCACTGGAAAAAAAAATGGCCAAAGTGCTTGGATATCCTTAAGGTATATCCTGAGACAATCGGACCCAACAATTAGTTCCTATGGATTTCCGGAAAAAAATGATAAATAACTTAATTTATTGCATTCTCATAAATTATTGAGTTTTTCTATCCTCATATGTTGTTGATGCAGGCAACCATAACAATTTGAATCAAATAAAAAATTAGTTGTTAATTAATTGGTGGAATCAAATAACGAATCCTTTCACGAAATTTCTATGTTTTAGAGTTGAATATCGCAGAAGCTGTGTAGTACAAAATTGAAAAAAAAATCACCGTATTCGAAATTTATCAATCAATCACAGATTAGATTTTTAAAAACATTGTAAGAACCGTTTTCTCATAAGATGGAAAAATCGCGTTCGGGAGGACCCATAACCCCCGTTTGGCTGATACCTCGCGTGTTAGAAGCCCGCATTTCATTATTTACTATCTCCTAAACTTTGTAGTACTGCTATTTATAATTTTTTTCAATAGCTGGGGCCTATTATAAACATTATCTATAACAAAGATGTGGACAACCTTAAGAAAAACGTGTGTTCTAGGGATATACCTTACGACAGTTCTACAAATTAAACATGCATCAAGTCCTTGAAAATCCGAGAAGTAAATTCTACGCTACTCGGGCCTCAACTTTATCTCTATACCACACTAAGCCAATATTATGAGGCATTTCATGGATATTACGATAAAGAGAGTGGGGAGCATAAGAATGTCAATAGACGTTGTAATGACTTCATTAAAATAAATAAAAGCGATAAACGAGTTTACACATTGTTTCAGCGTGAAAAAATAAATGAGTTAACATCGAATTTGTGAGAGAGGCATATGTGGAAGCGAAACAGATGGAGAAGAGATGAGATGGTGGAAGTGGAGCGGAGAAGCGGGGGACGGGGGCACTGGTTGAGAGAGCAAGGTGAAGAGATGGTTGTTGATGGGAATACGCCGGGAGGTTGGTCGGCTTGGCCATCGATGTGGTTAGAAAGCCTTTAAACCATACTCGGTCATTGTCAGTCTACGTCATTCTCAGTTTATCGCATTCCACGCACCGTTTCCATTGTACATTCGTATATTCAAGTCCGTATTTCAAATTTTCAAGTGCAGTTTTATGTTTTAATCGTCACGCGAGAAGCGGCTGTGAATCTCTGCGGTTGCCCTGGACCCCACCAACACTCGTTTCACTGCATCCAACCCCCCTCTTTTTATCTCTCTGTCTACGTTTTACGCGACCGGCGTGCGTCGTGGATCTCTCATGTAACCGGTACCAGTTTGGTACCAGTTGTTCGAAGCGCGAAACCCATATTCCACGGCTCTCCACATTACTGGATTAATCAGGGATTAATTAACTGGTGAGTGGTGATTTTATTGATACAAAGATTTATCTCATGTGTTTAGACAATTTGTTTTTCCCGCAACTCTCGTTTAAACTCTTATCCTCTCTCACAATTGAATTTATCTGGACGCCTGTTGAAACGTTGGGAATGGCTTTTGAATAAAAGAAAAGTTTATTTCATCGTGATAATGATATGAGGAATGTGAGCGGAAGTGTTCTCGATGCGTGGAAAATTTTATCCAACTTGTTTTTATTTTCTACTTAAAAAACCCAACGAAACTAGAAAGTGATGAGCAGTTTGCTTACACCGAGGAAACTCGAGATGCATCGTTCGGGCCCGGTCGACTGGTTTGGAATGTTTTTTATACGCTGACACCGAACCTCCAGTGTATTATGTTTACATAGGAATGTCTTCGTATAATGCTTGCGCAGGTTCGCAGAAACTCTCAACATTTTATATGATTTTCTCCCTATTGTGGGAAAAAAAAATTTGTGGCAAAAATATTGAGAGTCAATTTGTCCATGTTGAATTAAATTCACTGACGCAAGAGAGTTTTGTGACATATAGCATAATACGCTGAGCGCGTGCGCAACCGCGAGCGTGCGGTCAGCGTGGTTTACCGCCCTGTGCACCGTGAAAATGTGCACATATACCGAAAGCACGTAGTGTGCCATAGGGTCTCACACAAACGGAAACCGGCTTTATCCATTCATGGAGATAAAAAAAAATCGAGGATACATACTATGCGCGTTGCTGGCGTTTTCGACACCAGGCTGTCTGAATTCTTTGTGGAATTGTTGGGAATCGCGAAATACCGCGGGAGTATGGACGTTCCGCAGGTTCCTCAAATGCCACTGCATTCGGTATTATTTCCCTCCCCTCAAATACTGTGGGAGAATGATTATTTTTTATTTCTAACCACGCATCTTATCGAACAATAGAACAATTGCATGTACTTACACATAATTTGAGCGGAGACTATTGTGAGTTTTAAAAGTCACGGGCTACACTGTGGAAAAAAATGAAATTTTATGGATAGTTGACTACTAATTCTCAGGACAGTGACACTGAACGCGATTTTGAGGAATAAAATCATGACATTTCAGGTTTCACTGAAAATTCAGTGAAATTGCAGAATTTTAAGGAGCATAAAGACGAGAATTTTTTTCAAATATTATTTATTCAAAGTATTGGAACCCGTAATATGGGTTATTTACACTATCAGTATGTTACCTGTTTTTTTTCCATACACTTAAATTTGTAAATTACAATTTTTTTAATATTTACATATTTCTTCTATCTGTTTATAGTCATCTCTATCTGCGAATTTTTTCGCGGTGTAGGGTCGTGAGCAGTTAGTTTTTGCTAATTTATTTAATTGTTCTAATCGGTGCTGGCTGTACTTTGGCCAATGCCATAGGACAAAGACGAGAATTCTTTAATTTATTTGTATTTCCAATTTAATATGAATATTCAGTGCCAAATTACATTGATTTTTTAGTGAAAACTGAAATTTCATGATTTTTCCCCCTAAATCGCATTCAGTATCACTATCCTAAAAATTCAAGAATATATTTACCGGAATTTTCTGGTTTTCTATTCATTTTCAGGGAAACTGGAACTGAAATTGACAGTTCTCTTTGATTTTTCCAAAAAATTCTGAATTTTCAATGACGAAATTCCTTGAAATTTCAGTGGTAATTAAATTCGATAAAAATTTCCCAAAAGTGTACCATAAGTTTCAGACAAAAATTTTTAACAATGTATTGGAATGAGATTTCAAAATTTTTGAAAAAATGGGTGCAATAATAATGATGAATTAGTTTTTTGCAATTCGACTCCAACACAGCTAATTTCTTTTTTTTTTACATAAAAAATTGCACCATTCATGTAAAACAGCCCGAAAAATGTTTCTGAAACAATCGAGAATATATTTTACATATTTTAAGGATAATTTTTCTGCCTATTTTACATGAATGGCGTAAATTTTTATATTAAATAAAATTTAATTAGCTGTGTAAGAGTAGAATTTCAAAATACTAATTCGTCATTGTTATTGCACACATTTCCTCAAAAATTTTCAAAAAAAAGTCTGTATTTTCAACATTCTAAGCGCCTGCGGGGCAAACGAACAATAAGCAATTAATTTTTTCACTAACTCGTTTTTCGACACATATAATCGATCTTCAATGGATGAGAAATTTCACTCCAATAGCCCACGACTTTTCAAACTCATAAGAGTCTCCCCCTAATCATTTACAGCGCCTTGTAATGGAATTTTAAATCGCCTAATTATGGAGGAAAAAAGACACAATATTTGATTTGACATTTCAGATTCAACCGGTGGAGGGAAAAATAACGAGGAAGAGAAAGAAGAGGTCACGAGCTCTATTGCCCCCCCTCTTTCACCTTTCTTTCACCGCATGATTGTGTACACCTCCAGTACGTTACTACCAATAGCCTAGAAAATACTGTGTCACGACACTTCTGGTAAAATCTAGTGACATGTGTACATAAACGCGTAGTGGAACGTGCCGCTGATGTGCGTAAAATTTTGCGGCAGGTCGTGGAGAGGAGTTTAAACGAGATTTTTCGATATAAATATGATGGCCTACATGGGGTTCGAGCGTTGGCATCGGGGCGGGCCGATGTGACGGCTGACTGGAGGAACGAATGAAATAAATAAAAATAAATAAAAAAAGAAAACGAAAACGAAATAAACAGCGACAGAGAGACGGTGAAAAGAGGTGAAGAGAGAAGGCGAGAATCGATAAGACGAGAATGGGGCAGGCGTGGTGCAAGGAGAGGTCCACCAAGGCACAGGATTCAAAGTCACCTCTGGACCGCGTTTTCCTTCGTTGCGCACATCGAGTGAGTTCTATTTATTTTTCTATGATTGGTTCTGCTATTTTCTTTTGCTTGGGTTTTTCGTTAACGCTGATTAGGTACTGTGCGATAACGTGTTCCAGTTAATTGACCTCCACTGCAACCTCTATTCGATAAATTTAATGAGGAAATAACGAGGAAATTCAATTATTTTTTTCCTTTTGTGAGGAGTGCACCTGTTTATGTTGAATCTGAGATATATATATTTTGGTGCCCCGTTATCTTTATCAGGGACACACAAATGAGATCGACGGCAGTGTAACGATGGGCGCACCTGATTTCCATTGGGCCCGAACACACGTTCACTCGTGTGTCGTGTTCTTGAGGAGAGCGAAGAGGGAGGGCAGTCGCCTTCACGAGTGGTTTCCGGTTTTCGCCTAACCTCTATTCCACCTTATCTTGCGCCCCGTTGGATATTGTGCGCGCAGTGCAATTTACACTGGCGATAAATCACATCCGGAATAGCTCACATGATAATGGTGAAATTCGTTGTGAATTTCAAGTTATTTTACACGGAGACAAAATAAATAGAAAAGTACCATAAAAATAGCGCGAAAATTACATTCTAACGCGTCATCGTGAGACGTAATGTCAATTTCGTGGGAATTATTTTTTGCCGCGCATATTTTTCAGGAAGTAATAGTAAAAAATCTAAGCTCTTTGAACGGAAAAATTATAAGCTATACTCAGAGTCTAGGTGTAAATTACGTTTTGCTAAGTGTAATTTACGGTTTGCTAAACGTAATATACGTTTAACGCCAATGTGATGTTTGGTGGCTTTTTATCCGTTATGAAAATCGGAATTTAGGCTTCGAAAAGGCGGATTTTACTGACTAAATAAAAACGTAAATTACGTCTAAACTAGCGTCTTTTACATTTCAGTAAGCGCATTTCACGCTTAAGAAATCGCAAATTACGATCTTAATAGAAACGTATTTTACGATTTACTTATGCGTAGTTTATGGAAAAAGCATCGTATTTCACGCCTAAAATCACTTTTTTTTCTTCGCTGTTAGTTACAGATAAGCAGACGTAAAATATGGACAAAATCATCGTAATTTACGAATACGAAATCGTAAATCCCGTTTATGTAATCGTAATTACGTTTAGGTTTTTCTGTCTGTAAAACGTAATTTTTATACATTTCGCCCCCCCCCCTTATTTTGGAAAAATTTATTGAGAGTTGTTTTGTTTCAGGGAAATTCATGAAAAATTCGAATTTTTCAACAATCATCATAAAAATCAAATCGAACCAATATAGCTATCGTAATCATATTTTAACTTCGACTCAATGGCATTGAAGCAAACATTTTAAACTGTGATCGAATTCATTGGAAGTATGACATTCAAAGATATTCCCGAAATTCTGATTTTCAAAAAATATAAAATTTTTGCAACTTTTCAAATAAATGAATATAACGATTATTGCTATTGCCTTTATTTTCAAACTCGGTCAAAAGGACATCCAAACAATTTTTTATGCCATCATTAAATCAATTCAGAACATTTGTTTTAGTTATCGTGGAACAACCGATTTTTGAAAAAAAATAGAAAATTGACAAAAACTAATTGATGAATTAAATTTTAATTAATGGTGATCAATAGGGCTCAACAATACCTACATTTGAAAAAAAAATCAATTCTACCTATTCATTAGTGAACAATTGAAGAAAAACATTGCCACACATACATACATACATACGCACATACGTACGGATATGGTCTAAAAATTGCATTTTCAGACTTTTTGGATCATAATCAACCGATATAACACGAAAAATCCAAAACGTAAATTTGAACGATTACAATGCTTCCATTAGAAAGCAAAAAAAGAGTAATCCGAAAAAAATCGATTTTTCTATGATGTAATTAAGATAATGAGTACGTCAGATAATAATCGACGTAAAATGCGTTGGGTATGGAATTTTTCTCAGTTTTTTAGGTACTCTATGATATGTCTAAAGTCGCTCGATAGCTATTTTCATCAACCGAAGACTTTCAAATTTCATAACAATACACACTGATAGGAAGGATTAGTTATTATTAACGAATGGATTTGGTCGGAGACAAGGGTCTATTCGGTCTCATCAAATGTGCATTCATTAATAGTTAACAAATACATATTTGAGGAGTCTTGTTTAACTCGAATTTCATCATTCAAGTAAACCGTTCATTAATAGTTAACGAATTTCGTTTGACATAAATGAATCAGTTTAACAGTGCATTTTAATTTAATAAAACTTCGAAAATTGTAATGAAATTCATCTCTCGCGAATTTTTTTTTCAGAATTTCCGGAAAAATTCCCGAAATAAGCATTCCGCGGCACGATTATGCGAGTCGTCACGTTACCTTTCCTGGGCTGTTTTTTCTTTGTGGGGATTTTCATAGTTGTAAAAGAACGGTGTTTATTTTTTGATTGAACTCTTCATCATCAGCAATGAAAATATGATGGATTGTATACCGATACAGTTACTGGCGAGAAATATTTCCAATGATATTCGATAAGCCATTGTTGTATAGCTGAATGGTCAATAAAATTTGATGGGTTAGCCGAATGAATTTAATCCGCGATTGATTGTTTTTGAGTATGCCAGGCCACTGCGGCCGAGCCGAACCCATTGTCAATTTCAAGTACAGGGGAAATGCCCGTGTGGTAGGGGGTTTGGAAGGAGAAATGTCTGCCCTCGCGCGATTTAATTTATCGTCTACTCAAATTAGTTGAAATTCCCCGATAAGTAAAAAATAAATTCAAGGACTTGTTATTGGCTCACATTTCCATCATTTGGAGAACACTCTACTAGGCACTGATGTTTTTCAATTTTTCATTAGAATTTTTTTTATCCCTCACTCTTTTGCCACGAGGAAAATTGACATGCGCTCGGACCTTGTCAGCATGTCACCGCACTGACGGTCGAGTTTCGCGGGCAAATTTGCAATTTAAACCCATCCGGTATACGGCCAGAGAAGATACAGATGGGATGAGTGGATATCGATAAGCGTTTCGGTATAAACCCCGACCAAAAAACGTGCATACATATGTACGTTACACATGCCACTGGCTTTTACACGAGCCACAACCAGTGGATATGCATAAAGTATGAAAACGATACGTTTCACCAAAACGAGACGGCGGAATAAACCGGCAAACGAGGTGAACCTTCAATTCATCTCCAATTTTTTTTGGCGTACTCGGAATGAAAAAAAAATACCGTAACATTCAAATTCTACAATTCATAGAAGGAGAGAATATTCCCAAACAGAGTTTCATTACAGTTTCCATTTATTTTCCAGTTTTTTAAAGTAATACTCAGGTATTCAGTGATCACCGATCACGTAGCTGAAAACTAGTAGGCGGGAAGGTCGTGTTTTTTTTCAGCGAGACTACATTGCAGATGTTATGTAACGACAAATGACGCACTGAGCGAGTAGCCACATGCATACTTATTATACATACGATTGAGCCGAACCTGAGTTGATTGTTTCTGTAAACAGAAGCAAGAATATCTCAGGTTTGAAGTAGATTATTAAGAACACAAGTATTCTCAGGTTCTATAGTTCATTTTACTGGTGATAAGCGAGATTGCTTTCCTCAGTTCGATGGAAAGGCTTTCCTTATCACAACATTCAAATTTGAACAGAAATATTAATATTAAGGGGAGACTACTATGAGTTTTAAAAGTCGCGGGCTTTTGAAGTGAGATTTCTTACGAATTCAAAATCGATTATGTATGTCTAAAAACGAATAATTAGCACAAAATATTAAATGTTTATTGTTCGTTTGCCCCGCAGACGCATAACATGTTAAAAATAGTCCAGGGTCTCCAATTTTTGAACAACAGAGAGGTTTCTTTTTTTCCAAAATTTTTGAAGAAATGTGTACAATAAAAATTCAGTAGCGAAACGGTAAACAGGGTTAAGTCGATTTTGACTATTAGCCAGTTTTTGACAAATATCTTAGAATCTAATAGAGACAGGAAATTTTCCATTATGACTTTTTTGGTAGAGCCAATTGAGGGTTAAAAAAACGGTCATAAGAAAGATTTTTCTATCTCTCTTAAATTCAGAGATATTCATCAAAAACTGACCAAAAGTCAAAATTGACTTAACCCGGTTTACCGTTTCGCTACTGAATTATGAACTTGTTTTTTGAAATTCGACTTTTACACAGCTAATTTAGTTTTGTTGGATTTAAAAATTTGCGTCATTCCTGTAAAATAGGCATAAAAATTATCCTTAAAATATTTTAAATATATTCTGGATATACAACCCCTCAAACACCCTACTATACGAACGCACCCAAATAGAACCCATCACAGACAGATTCAAGAAACTGACGACAACTTTCGCCCTCGATAAGCTGGACCATATTCTAGACCCCTGCCACAAACGCATTCCTAATATCAAAATCCGATACAAATACCTGCAACAAACCCTACTAGAAAGCCTGAAAGCCATTCGCACAGTAGAATACGGTAACGACGCTTGGGGAGGCACAATTCTCTCCCAATAACATACTACTTCATAGCAATAGTTACAATAATAGCTCTCTATTTTCTTCACCATCACCACATTTTCCAAACTGCTTCACGCTGAATTCATCCAAGACAATGTCAAACATTTTATTTTTCCATCTTAAGCATATAATGCTAACAACCAATTGAATAGTAAATTACTTATTGTTATCTCTTCGCTTATTTGCTGCGTTCTACAACCAACACATTGTACATATGTAACTTGTAAATACCAGGCTGAAGGCCCTCGGGCGATGGCCAGTCGCAAGTTTCTTGCGACGAATCCCGTTAAAAATAAATAAATATATTCTGGATTCTTTCAGAAACATTTTTCGGGCTATTTTACACGAATGGCGCAAATTTTTATATTAAACAAAATGAAATTCGTTGTGTAGGAGTGGAATTTCAGAAAATTATTTCGTAATTGTTATTGTACACATTTTTTCAAAAATTTTGAAAAAAATAAACCTCTGTAGCTCAAACATTGGAGGCCCGGGACTATTTTTAACATTTTATGCGTCTGGGGGGCAAAGGATCAATAAACAATTATTTTTTTGTGCTAATTATAAGCTTTTAGAAATACATAATCGATCTTAAATTCATAAGAAATCTCACTTCAAAAGCCCACGACTTTTAAAACTCATAGTAGTTTCCCTTTAATTGAAAATTGAATTAATTGAATTAATTCAATTGAATTGTAATCAAAAGGTTGAAATATTTTGTTCCGATCAGGAGGTTTGGTACCTCAGCAACTCGAATCATGAAATTTTTGTCAACCTTGGCAATGAGAAGGACATTCTTTAATTTAAATATTCGACACAATTTTAATGCCCACTGAAGCCTCATGAATTATTGTGAAGTAGAATAAATTAAATGCGTTCATTGCATACGTTAGTTTCGGGTTACACAAAGTTAAATGATTGAATGGCTGCTGCGCTCTTCATTTAATTCTGTCTAATGCGGATAACTAAAGTTTTTCATGGGTCATTCGTTACATCGGAATAGGTCCTGTCAGACCCTTACATGGAAAAGAAAATCCCAAGAGAATTATTGTACTAGCATGATCAACCGGTCAGATTGTATTGGTTAAGGCAAAATCGAGAGACCTATGAAAAAGTACTGGGTCAGTACAGGAAATTCCATTTTGGAGCGCAGAAATTTCCCGCGCATTGTTAGGTTCTCTAGAAGTTTTACTCATGAGTGCCATTATTTCCCCTTGAACGATACGTTGATTTTTTGCACTATGCCAGTATGCACATTGTTAGAAAAAACTGAAATTTCAGGGACAGTCAACTATTAATGTTTCGGAAAGTGACACTGAATGAGATTAAAGGAAATTGATGGCGATTTTTTCTACGATTGGGGAGGTTGAAAAACTATATCTTAATTTTTTTCAGATTTTTTCGGCAGCCCAGTTCGGAGATATGATTGGTTCGTTTTTTCGTTTTTTTTTCAATAACTCGAGTTCTATCCATCCGATTTTTATTTATTAAGCGTCAAAATTTTTCATTTTTTACTGTCTATAAGAATATTTTTAGTGAATTTATTTTTTCGATCTCTAGATACGCATAATAACGACTTTTCGAATAAAAGAGTTGAAAAACTTGAATTTTGCAAATTATGTCACGGATGATGGGTTTCATTTTTTTCAGTGATTCTTATAATCAAAAAAAGTATTTTGAGCCATCATACAAGTTGGGCATCGTCCTGGATCTATTTTATCTTCTATTTTTTCGTTTCGAAATTCCGCAAATTTGGTCGCAACATCTTGAAATGGCCTTGATTCACTTTGATTATAGACAGTATGAAGTGAATTTGATTGTATACCTATATATTACATATTTTTTCAATACATAATCGAAGTCGTTTTGTGGTGTTTTGACCAAATTTGCGAAGTTTCCAAAAGAAAAAATTAAAAATAACATAGATCCAGGAGGATGGCCAACTTGAATGACAGCTCAAAATACTTGTTTTGATTATGAGAATTACTGAAAAAAAAATTTTGAATATCAACCGTGAGGTAATTTGCAAAATTCAAGTTTTTCAACTGTTTTTTTTCGAAAATTTGTTTTCATGACCATCTAGGAATCGAAAAAAAAATTACTAAAAATAGTCGTATAGGCAGTAAAAAATGGAAAATTTTGACGCTTAATAAATTAAAATCGGACAAATAGAACTCGAATTATTGGAAAAAACGGAAAAATGTGACAAAAATCACATCTCCGAACTGGGCTGTCGAAAAAATCTGAAAAAAATTTGAGAGATAGTTTTTCAACCTCCCCGATCGTAGAAAAAATCGCCATTAATTTCCAAGAGGGTGAGGGTCAGCCATTGACTCATTTGACGTGGAATACCTCATATAGTAGTTATTTTTGCTAATAAATTAGCGATATGCTTCCGAATGGTTATTTTGCACATCATTTCCTTCTATCATGTAATATTCATTGTTTATTTAATTTTATTCAATTGCATAAGATGTCTTTTTTACTAATTTTCTCAGTTTTTTAACTTAATTGAATGTTATCATCATCATTATTCGTATCATCCCTTTCTTCTATACAACCGATTGTCTTTTTAACGGTCCTATCTCGCACCTCAGCCCTTCGATAAAATGTCAAGAGAAAAATTTTATTTATACATTCTTGAATGAATTTCAAACATTACATTTGAAGAAATCATCAGAAAGTTTATTTTCAGGGAAAGTCATGAAAAATTCGACATTTTCATAAATCAGCATAAAAATAAAATCAACCAATATAGCTATCGTAATCATCTTTTAACTTCGACTTAATGGCATTAAAACAAACATTTTAAGCTACGCTTGAATTAATTTGAAACACGATATTCGAAGATATTCCCGGAATTGTGATTTTCAAAAAAAAATCAAATTTTTGCAAATTTTCCAATAATTCAAAATAACGACGATTATTGTTATCGTCTTCATCTTCGAACTCGGTTGAAAGGACATCCAAACAAAGTTTTTAAGTCATCATTCAATCAATTCAGAACATTTTTTTTAGTTACTGTGGGACAACCGATTTTCGAACAAATTTGAAAATAAAAAAAAAATCGATGAATTAAAATTATATTAATGGAGGATGGATTGATAGGGCTCATCAATACCTACATTTGAAAAAAAGAAAAATTCAATTGCATCCAATCATTAGCGAATAATTGAAGAAAAACTTTGTTACATACGTACACATACACACACGTGTGGACGAGGTCTAGAAATTGCATTTTTGGACTTTTTGGATCATACTCGGTCGATGTAAATACAAAAAATCAAAACTTAAATTTGAACGATTACAAAGCTTCCATTTGGAAGCAAAAAAGTTGATAAAAATAATTTATTCCTTGTTGACGGGTAATTTTGAACCTTCAATAAATAGGAAATGGGACTGTAGAAGCGAAATAGTTGTCAGATTAGTCAAAAATTTTTAAATTTTGAGGTTAAACACGGCCGTTTCCTGCGAGTCGACTTCTCAAAAGATTTTAATTATTTATTGGTATAAGTCTGGAGCAAAAAAAAAGTTAATATGTTTAAAATATTTGAAAGTAGGAATACAACTTATTACGGAATTTTCATTCACCAAATGTTTTGTGCAAAGAAAAAATCGATAAATGACCCTGATGATTAAGGTTTAAATTTGAACAAGTACAGAGTATCCATTCCGAACCAAAAATACTCGACATTTAAAAGGAATTTTCCATTAGTCGTCTACCGAAAACAATTTAAAGTATCTTCAGTCCTCAATAGATTTAATCTCACGAATGGTTAAGTATTCCTAATGCTAGAATGCCTTGACACACATTAAGTTTGGAATAACGCCTGCACCTCCCAATTTCCCCGTAGATCCGAGGTCGTGGAGTACACCATAATTACCAGGGATATCCGCAAATTGATGATAAATGAAAGGGACAAGTGAGCGTTGTGATGGATCGCCACGTTAGGGTCATAGGTAAACGTCAACAGATTTTATTATACCCCATGGAGACAAACTCAGTATAATGGCTCTTTTAATATTATACCTGGAAATATTGTCACTGCCAACCGTATCCGCCCGGGGTATTCACTCACCCCAGCGATAAATTACCCGAAAATTTTCATTATTCAATAACAGTCCCGGTTGTACAAACACAATAAGTCCCCTGAAATTACAATATCGCTGCTGCAGTTTGTTTTAATCTTTATTATACGCTGAACCTCGGTCATTGTATGCGAAGAGAAGTGTTTCGATAATAGTTATTACCAGGTATGTTAACATCCGTCATTAAATATGAGTGTGCACACGATTTTGCTCGAGTATAAACAGCTAAAGCAAAGTACTAAATAAAGAGATGGAGCACGGGAGAAAAATTCAAATGATAATGCTAATTGAAAGTCATGCATTCATGTATGAAGTCGGCAGGGAAAAAAAAACTAATAGAATTCATTAATGCTTGGAGAGATACTTTATAGCCTTATGATCCTTGAGTGTGTCACGAGTCACAATGAAATTATGCGCTAATGATTAATATGCCGGTGTTTGTTGACAGATATATCCGGGGCTGAAAGAGGAGGGCTCGGTTCTCGGTGGAGCAACGCAGAGGGTAACGAGGTAAATATAATGAGTCGCTTTCTGTTGGCTTCTACGGTGCACGTAATGCAATCACAGATAATTTTTCATATCAAAGTGTTTTGCCTGAAAATTCAATGCGGAGAGAAAATTGCGGAAAAATTATCTGCAAAATCGCGTTGGAATTAAACTCTGACATGTAATCGTCGGGGGGATGTGACTCTGCCAAGAAGTGCAGTTTTATCACAAATATTCAGGATGAACGTCAAAGTTACCTTAAAATCAAATAAAGTTGCTCAGTAGAGGGGAGAAAATTTGTTTCTGGTTCGGGTTTCATTCCTCCATTCCAAATAAAATTCCTCGAACAGTATTTCTGTTGCCGGTTCCATTAATTGTCACGTAATTTTCAGCAAAATTTTCTCGTCATAGAGATAGAGATGATGGTGATGAAAGGGTGGTCACCGATCACGTCGGGTTTATGTAAAAATTTTCGAACATTCTCCGAAGTGTTCTTTTCGAAAACTGAATTTGATTACATCCCGACCATGAGAAAATATAATCTTTATAATTGCGATATCATGATTTTTTAAGAATCAATTCAATGAATAATTATATCTCATGAGAATGTGATAAAATATAGGCATCTGAAAAGTCGGCATTCATGAGGTAAATGATGATTTTTTTCTCGAGTGAAATTAAATCGTGTTGTGTAGGAAAAATATAAAAAATTAATACCTGAGGAAACCAAAATAGAAGGGCGAAATCAGGGATGTGTTGTTCACTTCCAGAAAATTCTGAACGTTTCCTTAGATTTCTAAATAAGTATTGGTCGGACTGCCGCGCAGAAATATACCGTTCTCGGATTTTATCATTATTCAATGACTCACGAAGTTTCATCATCGTGAAATTATTTTTTTGTGTTCTTCCTAAAATTTTGTGAATTTTCAAAGCGGTTAAAAAACGCTGAACAATGGTGGACCGACGCTGAAAGTTTATGAACTATGTAATGGTTATAATACGTTGAACTGGTACATCTATTTCTATTGAACTTTCTATTAGCTTTTTGCCGATTCTATTGACATCTTCAATAGGAAATATTCTAGAGAAAAAGTTAATAGAATTAGATTTTTCGATCCAACTTACTCTAGTGAGATATTATCCGTAGAATTTGCTCGGCTCAAATTTTCTGTTTTTTTAAATCTATTTTTCTTTTCTTCTCATCATGAAAATCAAACAAGAAAACTGAAAAAATTTGAGCCGAAGAAATTCTATAGAAAATATCTCAATAGAATAGGTTTTATACAAAAATCTAATTCTATTGACTTGTTCTATTGAATATTTTCTATTGAACAATTCAATAGAATCTGCCAAAAACTGATAGAAAATTCAATAGAAATTCAATAGAATTGTCTAGCAAATTCGATAGGTTTTTCGCTAGGTTTTTTACGTCAAACCGAACAGTTTGGAAATCTAAAACAAGTGGAAATTGCTTTTGTCTTCATATCATACAATTATTTTTTCTAATAAATTAGCAATAATCTTCCGAATGCTCATTTAGCACATAATTTTCTTCTATGGTATATCATTCATTGTTTATGTTATGTTATTAAATTGAATGAGATTTATTTTTTTAATTGTGTCAGATTTTCAATTTAGTTGAACGCTATCATTATCATTATTTTTATTATGCTTTTCTTCCATAGTGATTCTTTTAGATTGTTTTTTTGCGCTCTTATCACTCCCCTCACCCCTTTATTGCTTCACGGGCTGACATTCTCGTCCCAACTACGTGGCATTTACTTCAGGAGCTATATTTCCTATTCACATTTCAGTATTTATATTTTCGTTCAACGGTTTTCTAGTTATCGGAATTACCTTTCTTGACGGCTCTGCATTCCACAGGTTTGTTGTCTAGATAAGCCGCGTTTAGGCCGTTGTTGTCATCTATTATTAATATATGGATAATTCTAAATTTGCACAAATCATCATAAAAATGAAGTTAACAGATATAATTATGATTACATCATGATTATCATGTAACTTCGACAGTGTGGCATTGAAACCAACACTTTAAGCTGTAATTGAATTCATTTGAAGCATGATGATATCAGATCTCAACATATCCTCGGAATTCCAATTTTCAAACACAAAAATTTTGTATATTTTTATATAAATCAAAACCACCATTATTGCTATCGCCTCTATCTTCGAACTAGGTCCGAACAAATTTTTCAGCTATCATTCAATGAATTCAGGACATTTTGTTTTTGCTTTCGTGAGACAACTAATTTTTGGAAAAATTCCAAAATTAAAAAAATTATTGAAATAATCAACTTTTAATCAATGTCGATGGATAGGGCTCAACAATACCTACATTTCAGAGAAAGAAATAATTTGATTCCATCGATTCATCAGCAGACAACTAAAGAAAAACTTGTCACATACATACATATCGACACCTTAATAACAGACAAGCGTATCTATATGGGGAACTCATGGAACTTACGCTTGTATGTTATTAAGGTGTCGATATGTACATACACACATACGGACACGGTCTAAAAATTCAATTTTCGGACTTTTTAGATCGGCATTATGATAAATCGACCGAAACTCTGAATGGATAACAGAAAACCCAAAATTTACATTTGAACAATTACAAAGCTTCCATTTGGAAGAAAAAACAGTTAAAATTTGCCGCACTGCGAACTCTGCTGTATTATTTCAATACATGTAATATGTGTCAATTACGTAGAAATTTTTTGCACACTTAGAGCCATGTTATTTTTACAACACATTTAATCTGTCTTGTTTTTATATATTTTTCGTGCAAACTCTGATGCATGTGCAACCCTAATTTTCAGCTTTCGAATCCTCAACATATGATGACCAAGCTGATCAATACGGATCAATTCATTTGAAAGTTGAACAAAGCTTAACCCTGAAGTGGTCGCATCGTGAGGGAATCCCCACTAAATCATGCGCAACCTACAGGGCGAGTGAGATACTAGAAAAGTGCGACCACTTAAGGGGAAATGGAACCGCTGCGCCAATATGAACTTTTAGAATTATGTTTTCTCCTGCAATTATTATTTGTTATTTATCAAACTACTTCATTAACTCAACAATGCAATGATCGGGTCAATAAAGTAGTTTCATAGATAAAAATTAATAATTGTGGGAGAAAACAATTCTAAAAATTCATATAGACAAAGGGGTTCCGTTTCCCCTTAAGGGTTAAAAATGCCGAGTTTTTCCAATATGACTCTGCTATTTTTGAATTATTGATGATTGAAATAGATCCATTTAAACTTTAAGGGTATTATGGGGGGGTTCAGGGGGAATTTGAAAAAAAGCAAAGAATTGAAGAAAAAATTTTCAACAGATTATTCAATCTTTTTAACCCTAGTCTGGTCACCAAGTGCGACCCTGCGACTTTGGTCACCTCTGCCGGGATTGGCAGCCGTGTTACACTGCCCGGCCGCATTTAGCGAGTTTCTGCCAATGTCGCGTCATGGGCATTTTCATTTAAGGTACTTCCTCTGTGAGTTATACTTGGTGAAAATTTCGCAATGAACTGAAGACCTAAAATTTGGATCATATATTGTTGAGGACATGTAAAAACGTCTCCAAAAATTTCAAATATTTTTTCCAGGCAAATTTTTTAGATATCCATCGTCAAACATTGAATTTTTGCCTTTTTAAGTTTTTGTTGATGCATATCTCAAAAATTCGCGTGGAAAAAATACTTGAAATTTTGGGAATCGTTTTCGCATGTGCTCAACAACATATGATCCAAATTTTAGGTCTTCAGTTCATTGCGAAATTTTCACCAAGTATATAACTCACTAAGGAAGTACCTTAAGATAGGAAAAAGCAATTCATCTGTCCAAAATAATGTGGTTTCTTTAGGAGTTTTGGGAAATATGTTGTTCTAAAAACTACTATAATTTTTTAGCCACTTCAATTGACAAAGTCAATTTTTCTTTATTTTTCCGGTTAGCCAAATAATTGTAATTAAAGAAAAACGACGCGCGGCAGGGCTCCCTCATAGGGTGACCAATTTCATAATGTACACAATAACAATGGAAATAATTACTAAAGTTGCAGACACATGTCATTCAAACGCGTGTATAAGTAGCAACTTTAGAAGTTTTTTCTATTTTTATTTTGTTCATGAAGTTCTTGACATTTTGCATCTGTTTTTTCCATAGGCTAAATAATATGTTGAAAAATTTTCATTCAATTGTTTGCTTTAGCGGCCGTCGCCATAATACCCTTAAGTGGTCGCAGCAATGAGGGAATCCTGGCGGTTTTTCATTTTTTTTTTCGACAGAAAAACTTCATGAGTGAAAAATTCATGAAAATTTGTATGCCTACTTTCAAATATATTAAATACATTGATAATTTTTTTAGTTCAGACTTATACCAATCAATTACTAAACCACACTAATAAATAAATTATTAGGTGCAGAATTTTGCACCTAATGAGATCGAGTTCTTGATTTATCTCATGACCGTTTTTATTTTATATGCCCATTTTCTATTCATCGAAGGTTCGAAATTACTAATAAACGAAGATTGAGTTATTTTTTCCTCTTTTTTTTTTCTGGGAAATCGTAAAATGCACGGTTCGGAGATTCTCTAATCATGCGACCAACTATACTTTTACAGCCCTTATGACAAAAAATATTGAACAAGCAATTTCAGCGAAAAAATGAAGAAACGAGAATAAAACTACATTGCTCAGGGTGTAATGGTCTTTTTTCAATCCAATTAAATCGAATCAGTCTAATATAGTTCAGGAGATATCGGCAAAAAACGATTTTCGAAGAATCGCTATATCTCGGGAATCGCTCAACCGAGCGAGCTGAAACTTAGCACAAATTTGAGTCTCAGTAGTACCAATTAGCAGCCATTCGCGAGTTATGGGGATAGATTTGGGCATACGAACACACATGTGCACATACATACCTACACACAACAGACATTTTTTAAAACGTTATTTCTTCACGTTTCATGACATTTCTAGGCATTTGCCCCAAAATTAAGCAATCGAAAAGAATCACGATTGCAAAGCTTCCATTCAGAAGCAAAAACCATAAAGTGGCATGGATAAAATAACCGCCGGCATCCCGAGATTACCATGCAAATAATGAATTGAAAATAATCACATTTTCTACATCATGATTGGAGTCTGCAGTAGAACAATAGATTTCCCCTTCGTCACCATCTTTTCTAAAGAAACCAATGAAACATCTTCACTATACAAATCCAACAATGAAACGTACGTGACTGCCTCTTCCTTTTTCTTATTCCAAAAGAATCCTTAAGAAAATGAAAGGAGCACAGCATAGAAATATCACCAAGTTTTATCCTCTTATTTTTAACTGCATAACTACGTGCTTCGAAAATCAAATGAAGGAAAAAAAATGGCAAAAATATGATTTCGAAAAATCATTCAAGTTTTTTCACATGAAGTGGTAGCTATGGGCATAAATGTCAAGTTAAGTTGATGATATTAGCTCCAGGAGGGAATAAAATCAGAAAATGCAAATTATATAAATCTCGAAGAAATAAAAAACGTCAAAGCATTTTTCCAGCGTCCCACTTCGTGCACATTATGCAATACTCTCGGCTCGCACATTGACACGGCATTTGTATGCATATATCTGCATGCACACATCTGCACACTAGGTTAAATGAAAAGAGTCTCAGTCGTTGTATAATTTACCGTGCAGCCTGAAAAACTACGTTGACTTGAACAGCAGTGCAATAATTCAAGCCGCAATAATAACGGAGTTTTCATTCCCTCGATAAATCGAAGGACCCATTGCTCTCTACACCTTCATTGTTTGTATTTCAATGTCACCGTAAAGTAAATCAGAGGCATTCGTTCTTTTTCACGAAATGAAAGGCAAAGAAATGGGCTATTAGATTAGAAAACTGAGTCAAGGAGTCTGGTCTTCGAGTTTTCTATCACGCTGGACCGTAAAAGGTGACATTTTCCGTAGAGTTGCCGTTGCGTGACCAACTATCGCAATCACAACATGACGTGTCAACGCCCCTTCATTCCTCGAACTATTTATTTTCTTTACTGACGAAATAACGAAGATAGTCCATACGCTAGGGGTACTTCTGTGTACATTGAGATGTCCATTAGATTTTATTACTGGATTCTATGTTTTCGAGGTCGCTGATTGCGAATATGATGATCGTTTGTGCGAAATCGTGGGCAGTCTTTGTTTATAACAATTTAATTGTTTAAAACGGAATATCGCGGAAACGGTCGGCTGTAGGAAAAATGTTTCAAACAAAAAATGTTCCTTATCAAAAAGTGGACATATTTTGTCTTATAACATTTTCTCATAGCGGTCGGGGTTGCAGAGATATCGCGGATGCAGCGATATGGAGCTAGAACGAATGGAGCTAGAGAAAAAAAGTTGAAACAAAAGATATTGGTAATTTCATGACTCATCTTTTGAATTATTAGACATTTTGGTCTATTCCTAGTAGTTAACGAGATAATCACGGTTTAATGATCAACGCAATGCGAATTTGTCCCGTCATCGCCCATAAAACGTAGAATATCTCGAAAATTACTTGGAATAATTGAAAAAGTCAAAAAACTGATCTGATGTATTTTTTTGTAATGAACATCTTTTGTTTCAACCATTTTTTTCTCCGTCCAACCATTTTTTTTTAAAAGACTCCGGAGCGCGTTGCCGCCGCGCAATAGTGCCAGCGCGCCGCTCGCTGGACTTGCATCCGCGATATCTCTGCAATCATGACCGCTATGAGAAAATGTTATAAGACAAAATATGTCCACTTTTTGATAAGGAACATTTTTTGTTTGAAATATTTTCCCCTATAGCCAACCGTTTCCGCGATATTCCGTTTTAAACAATTAAATTGTTATAAACAAAGAGACTGCCCACGATTTCGCACAAATGATCATCATATTCGCAATCAGCGACCTCGAAAACATAGAATCCAGTAATAAAATCTAATGGACATTTCAATGTACACAGAAGTACCCCTAGCGTATAGACTAAGACCAGAATTACAGTGACAAATCCCCGTGCCCAACAGTATCCAAACAATGCAGTATACCGTAAAAATTAATATAATGAAGCCAGAGAAAACAAAGCAACTAATTTCAATTCCGCCTCCTGTTCGACCTTTTTCCTTCTCTACTTTTCAATAAGCCGCGTAGGTTCCCAGGAGAAAACTAGGAGACACAAGAGCACAACCCTCCTCCTCTCTTCTCCTGTCACCCAACCTACACCTAGCAATATATCCTGCGAAGTCAAATAAAAGCCAATCAATCGAAACCCCGTACTGAAATAACCGCAAACGAACGAAACAAAACAACGTGAACAAAAAAAAAAGAAAACAACGGAAAAATCAAATGAATTAGAGAGAAAAAAAATAAAAACATGAAAAAATACGTGGAGCTCATGACCAGAGCGGAATTTGCATGCGAATAATTCCTGTATCCATAGAAATATTTCATTTCGTTTCCAATATATTCATCGTATCCTCAAGGATTATTATTCCTCCACCTCGATGTTACACTTTTTAAAGATAATCGATGGAAATGCCAAGTGGACGTAGTACAAGATAAAACCCATACATTTTACCCCCCCTGACTAAAATCCCCGTAGTACTCTTCGGGGTTATTTATAGAATAGAAGCAAGTCGAATAAACACGCTCGCATCGCGTGCCCTCTTGTTCTCTTGTGTTACGCTGGAAACTCACAGAGTTACGCCAGCATATCGCGATTTACATACGACATGTGTAATGTATACATTCGTACCCGACCCACCCACATTAACCATCTTTCTCCTCTACCTATCCACCTCTCTCCTATTTTGTCTCCTGTCTGTATCCCTATTCGTTGTCCTCAGACTGACTATCTGTTCTTGGGTTTGCCTACCACTCCGCTTTCTCCTCCAACTATAACCACCACGGAAAATCCACTATCCAGTGAATTCTTCCTCCTTTTTCTCTCTCCTCATCTATACATTTTACCTCTGCAGTTTGTAGTTGGGCGGTTGCCATTATCCTTCTCTATGCAATAAACCACTCGTTTGTACCTCTATCTCAGTTATTTTACCTTCTGCTAGCGGGTATCAGAGGACCCGTGATCCACTGCAATGGGTATCTGATTCGCTTCCGGTTATTTAATCCACGGAAAAAGGAGTTGGAGGGATTTTTAATAAATTGAAGCAATTGAGTCGCCAATTGTTTTTTTAAAGTTGTTTTATGTCTTCAGTTGAGGATTTCATTGAGATTTTTTGCAGTATTGTTAGCGATTCGTAATAAAGAAAGTCATTAAAGGGTAGATAAACGTGTCATTTATTTTCGTCTTAAAAGAGAGATTAATGGAGGAGAGGGAGAGAAAGAGGGACGGAAAGGAAAAGTATCAATGGAGATTATTCTTCTATCCCTGTTTCTCTCGTTGGACATGCCTCTAGACGTCGCCGTAATTGGACGACGCCAGGACTCTCTCACTTAAACTCCAGTTAATTACTTTTCGCCGTAATTATAATGTTCATGCCTGAAAATGTGGAAGATTGATTTATCTGGCCAGTGGCTTTCAATAGTCAAGGTTTTTTTCACCATCATTAAATTCCCTTTTTTTCTCATCTCACATACGATTGAAATTTCTAGCTCGGAGATTGGGTATGCTGGCTCTCCATCCAGGGAATTGCTCACCAGAGGATGTAGTATCGACTCTGTCGATCGACCCTTTCAACCAAGTGACTGGGTAGATGTTAATCTCGAAGTACCGAATACACCGAGAGCGAGCTCGGTCATGACCAATCACACGTTGGATACGACACTCTATCACACCGCAAGCCCAACATCAAGTTGTGAGTTTCATTTATTTTGTTGTCTACATTATTTCGGTTAAAAGCATTGGAGTGAGGCAAGGAGAGGAATTGATTGCCTAGGGAATAAGGACAGGAAGATGAATTACTTATCATTTTTTGTTTTCATTTAGACTCTAATTTAAAAGACGTTACTCCAATTCCACCACCGAGGAGTAAGAAGAAAAATCGGAGACGGCCACTGCCACCAAAGCCCAGTGAGAGTTACGAGAGTTTAGAACCCGAAATTGCTCCTAAGGATTCAAAGGAGCCTCTTTACTCATCTGTGAAATTTCCCAAGAGTAGGACGAAGGAGATTTATGAGCATAAGGTAACTGATTTTTCATCAAACAGATTTATTTTTCTTTGCATTATGTTGCGTACCAAAAGTCCCTTTTTTTGCGCACTTTTACCCGGCCGCTGCTTCCCGAACCGCCCCGGTGGTCAACACAAGGGTGACACTCACGGCGTACCGAGAGCGCATCCTTCCTAGGTGCGCTTTCTCGTTTTTTTATATGTACTTTTCCCTATCCCTCTCCTTGACCATTTGCGTTCAAGAAAATATTCAACGGCTTTTCCAACCAATGCAATTCTAGAAATCCTTTCCCACCTTCGTCGGTCAGGGACAAGACACTTCTACAGAAACTCTTAAACTTCAGTCTACTCCGAACAATTCGCGGATTCATTTCGTGCTCTAAATCAAACCTTTAACCCTAGTCTGGTCACCAAACGCGACTCTGCGATTCTGGTCACCTCCGCGGGGATTCCCCGTGTTCTTTAGGCTCTAGCGTTACCGAATTCACTCTACACTGCCCGGGCGCGTTTAACGAATTTCCGGCAATGTCACGTGATGGGCGTGACATTGCCGGAATGGCAATGGGCGTGATTTTTTTATTTTTTATTTTCACACAAAAACTTGGTGAATGAAAAATCCATAAACATTTGTATTCCCACTTTCAATATATGGAACACATTAACGTCTTTTTTTCGGTCCAGACGTACACCAATGATGAGTTATTAACCCTAGTCTGGTCGCAATGGGGAATCGTTTTCCGGCAATTTTTATAGGAATGGAAGAGACGAAATCTGAAACGTTCAGTGAATTTTCAGGTTCATCACCGAACAAAGTACGAAATTGTCACGTAATTTTTCCCGAAGAAGTAAAATCTTACAGAAACTTGCCGACTCATTGTGCCTCCAAAATCAAAAATTCTTGAGCGTTCAATAATTTTGATGAAGCTGGTGAGTTATTTCTACGTTCCGTTCCGTAAAATATCTCAATCGTTGTGGAAAAATGACGGAACGACTTATTGTCCCCACAGCGGTGAGTCATCAGACGGGTGGTTAATTTTTACGGAACAAATCGTAGAATTTACGTTGCGATTCGTACAATTTCAGTTCTGACTCACATTTTTTATTGAATTTTACTTCGCTCGCGCCTTACGTTTCGAAACGTAATTTTTACGTTTTTATCTGGTAATTTTTATTGAATTTTTCTCTCCGTGTAAAGAAAAATGACGCGGGGCGGGGTTTCCCTCATATGGCAATCAATCTAGGGTTAAATCGACCTAGCCAAGTCTTGTTTTTCAACAGAGTCAATTCAAGTCATTACTAGAATACTCAATATGTTTTTTCAAGTACTTTTAAGACTAGTGTAATTTAAAGTGTACTAATTCAATTTTTATTGTAATTACAATGATAGTTCAAGTGACTCAACGTATTCATATTTATTTATAAACATTATAAACATTCAAAATTCTATTCACAAAAAATACATAGCGCACCAAGCGAAAATACCGTAGCTTGGTTGTTTCAGTTTCTCCCACATGTTATTAAAAATTATCGAGAAAACGAGACACATTATTAATCATTTTCTTATTAATTTTTTAAAGATCAATGGAATAGGTCAGGTAATTCCCAGTGCTATTGTATCCGGCTGGAAATCCGCGGAGAGACTCTCTAGTCACGAAAAAACTTCCATCAAATCGAAAACTTTAAGCAGCGTTAGTCTCCCGAATTATCACGAACTCGAGACATCGCGATGCGAAGATGAGCACCAAAAATCATCAGAAGAAAGGCAAACTTCCCGTCTTGATCAGTTTACGGACTTGCCAGTCGATGGTTTAAGGATAGATAAAGGGAAAACTTCGACTCCGTTGAAGCAGGATATCAAGGATGAGCCGCGAACACCCGTTAAAGTTGATGGATGGTTTTTGCATCCTGACAAGTAAGTTGAAATGTCGACATCAAATATTTTACGACGTTAATAAATTAGGATAAACTGATTCTCATGGGGTTTTAAGGGGAACGCGATTTGAGGATTCTCCAGGACCTGAGGAGAATGATGAGAGTGAAGGAGAAATGAAGGAGGCTAAAAATGGAACGAAAAATATGCATACAAATCCGTTTTTTGAGATTCCGGTGGATGAAAGTAAAAGAACGAGTAAGTATTTTTTACCATACTGGTCGAAGACTTTTGAACAAGGTATTAAGGGCGCCAATCGCAATTGATATTTATTTTTCAATTTATTCGTTCCCTTCCCTAAAAGAGAATTTTTTTTCATTTTGTAAGGACAATTTTTTAAAAGTACCCTAGTACTTTAGAGTGGACAAAATGAAACAGCTGAAAAACGACAATTTGATGCAATTCAAGCAAAAACATTTTTTTTCATCAACTTTTTTCATTATTGGGAGTACTGATGAGAATAATAATTTCCCATTCGTCTTATAATTCAATTGATTAGATTAGGCCGATTACACTTTTGTTTTTTCATTCGATTGAAACTCCTCATCACATTCCGTTTTCCCCCTCTGAATCTCCCCCTGGGCCTTGATCTGGACTCTGGATTTTATTGTTTTAATTTCTTCTTAATTAATCCACTGACAAAATCTTCTCCCGTCAAAACTTCTCAATAATTTTCCATTCTACTGAATGAAAAAAAACCATAATGGGCTTTTTCGACGAAAATTTTTTTACCGAAAAATGGAAGTTTTTTTTCGAGATTAGCCTTCCTTTTGCTTTTTGTAGTTATAACTTGGCTAATTAGCAACTTTTTGGTTATGAAACGCTCATCAATGTATTGTTGAGCATATTTTGTATTGTTTGTTGCATATTTGTCCTTTTCCTCTCTCTCTCTCAACCACCTTCATGCACAATCGTATATTTTTTTCTTATTATCTTTTATCATCGTTGTTAATTCACGGACATGTCATTTTCTTTCGTATCTTTTTATCATTTATTTCGCCCCAAATTCTTTAAATAACGTCATTTATTATCAAATGGGCTCATACTTTACAGAATTAGGGTGCCGGTCAGTCCTCTTAACATTGTAGCTCTCTATCTCAATCCTAAAATGCGCCCAAGAAACTTGTCTTTCCCATAAGAATAACACGGGAATAACGTTTCTCATAAGAATAACACGTTTTTTCCCATTAAAATAATTGCACCATTATATGATGTAAACAAAAAACGAAAAATTTGCGCCAAAAGTAGTTCCTTTACTCAGTAATTTTCTACGATTATAAAATTTTTAGTGACATAACAGGGGACGGGGAAATAGATTGTATTGGGCGGTGTTTTAGAATTGAGATAGAAAATTGAAATTTTACGAGGTTTTTTTAAATTTATTTTGAGTCTTTTGAGGGGCGGTGCATAAAAAATTCCGAAACGGGTGCCCTAACGGTCACCCTATTACAGTATATATTTTCTTGATGTATCAAGAATAGTTTTTTCGTGTCTAAAAACGGAGAATTCGCTTTATTTCAATAAAGAGTGCCTTTTGTACGAGAATTCTCGTTTTCATCGTTGTAAAATTTCGTGTGTGGGACTACATAACGGGCCAAAGAAGAAGGAATTTTAGTAATCACTCATTTTCAAAAGAACCGATTCAACGAAAAAAATGAGTAAATAAAATATATCCAATGAACTATTTAATTTACTCAATTCCTGCTTATTATAACATTTTTAGTGACATAACAGAGGAGGGGTGGAGGGGAAATAGATTCGAATTAACCATGACAATCTCGTGTTATTCTTATGGGACAAAACAGGCCTCTTGGGGGGCGTTTTAGAATTGAGATAGAGATCGAAAATTTTATGAGGATTTATTTATTTATTTCGAGTCTTTCGAGGGGGTGGCACATCAAAAATTCCGGAACGGGTGCCCCAATGGTCACTGTATTACAATATATATGTTCTTGATGCATCAGGAATAACTTTTTCTTGTCCAAAGACAGAGAATTCGTTCCCTCCAAATAACGAGGGCCTTTTGAATGAGAATTCTCGTTTTCATCCTTATGAAAATTTCGTGTATGGGACTGCATAATGACCCAAAGGAGGAAGAATTTTAATAATCACTCATTCTCAAAAGAACGGATTTAAGCAAAAAATTGAGTAAATAAAATGTGTTCAATGAACCATTTGGTTCACTCAATCCCTCCTTATTATAAATTTTGTTGTCATTTCGGCCGTAAGGCAGCGTTTCACGAACTGTCTACAGCTCAAATGATTGAAGCCCTAGCCTTCCGCTCGGGCTGCAAACTCATATTCGCCAGAAAAAATTTTTTCGGCCGAATGACGAAATATACTATTTAGTGACATAAGAGGAGGGGCGGACGGGAAATAGATTCGAATCTGCCGTGACAATCCCGTGTTATTCCCCCCCGTGGGAGGCGTTTTAGAATTGAGATAGAGAGCAGAAATTTGGAGAGGATTTTTTTATTCATTTCGAGTATTTTGAGGGGGCGGCACATAAAAAATTCCGGAACGGGTGCCCTAATACGGTCACCCCATTACAGTATATATTTTCTTGATGTATCAAGAATAGCTTTTTTTTGTCTAAAGACAGCGCATGCGTTCCATTTAAATAAAGAGTGGCTTTTGAATGAGAATTCTCGTTTTCATCCTTGTAAAATTTCTTGGATGGGACTACATAATAGCCCAAAGAAGGAGCAATTTTAGTAATCATGCATGCTCAAAAGAACCGATTCAACGAAAAAATTAAGTAAATAAAATGTGTCCAGTGAACCATTTGATTCACTCAATCCCTCTGATTTTATCTCCAGATTCTCTCAATCGCCATCGCGAGCCTCAATCAACGAAAAACCTCCGTAGATCCTTATCAAACGACACTGAGCTTTTCGACAACTTTGAAGATAGAAACACTCTAGCTTCCCTATCTCAATCAGACTCTTCACTACGAGTGCTAACCCGATCAATATCCGAAGAGTCATTTCCAAGTGCTCTGATGGAGGATCCAGATGAGGTTGACTTTTTCGAGGACAAAGTCGTCAAGGATACCAAGAACGAGATAACCAAAATACGTGAGGAATTGGAGGCTGTTAAGAATGAAGTTAAAACCCCTCCATCCAGTCCAGAACCAAAGATCAAGCCGGAGTTGCAGAGTAACGATCACTCGACGCTTCTGAAAGTACTGAGGGACGAGGCTGATGACAGCAATTTGAGCTCAATGACACCAAGTTTGACAGAGCTGGAGGCAGCACTCTCAGATATGCTGGAGAAGCAAGACGAGCAACTGGAGGTACCAGAAGACCGTCTCGAAGACAAACAAACTCCCGAGAAACCTTTAGAAATTCCCATCGAGCCGAAAATAATTCCTCTGATTGTCGAGGATACTCCCCCAGAGATGGTGAGCATCGATTTAACTAACGGTACTGCCATCAATGGTTTCGAAAAAATCAATAAAAGTAATCAAGACATTGAATCACCACCCAAGCCGAGCAGATTGCACAGAATCATCCAGAAACCATCCCCAGAGACTCCAGATAATGTACCCACCCCTCCCAGAAGGCGAAATCGCAGTAGTTCAGGTGCTCTAAATGACAGACTCATTTGATGAAACAAGAAGGAAAAAAACTTTTCTTCTGAAAAAAAATATTATCACAAGTGCTTGTAAACAAAGTGGCGTTCTCGGTGAATCCCGAGGATTTTCAGATGGAAAACGAGAGACGAGCAAGAAAATAAAATACGTTTTTCGGTGAAGTTCCTCGATGGTTCTGTCGAGCACTCGTGAGAGTAATCGTACAAAACTTCTCGGCTCGTATGTGCTGGAGGAAGACAGCAAATGAGTGTACGGAAAAGCGATGTTCTCCCTCCACCCCTTCTGTTACCCAACTTTTTAACGAACGTACTGTGCCGAGTCACGCGGGAAAACTACCTCACCATTGAAAAAGGAAGTATGAGTTGTGAGTGAGATAAATTCAGTGAAAAAACCCCCTTCATCGTTGCTATTACCGCGAAAATAAAACAATAATAATGAAGGAGCGAAGGATCCTCGAGTGGCTGGAGCAGTCAAATTCATTCTTTCATTGGGGATTACTTTGTATGAAATGAAGATAAAGAACGAAAAGATGGTTGTAACATAGGTTGTATGCTGTAGGATTCCAAATTTAAGGTTTTACGAACTTTGATTGATGATAACTCTTCGGAAAAGAATCTCAGAAAATAAAACAAAATGTTCTGCCAAGAGTAACTATCTGGAATTCATTCTTGGAGGAACAATTTCTTTCAACGAATTATTTTTGATGGGCTAAAATGAGTGAAAAATTAGATAAAACTAAGCGTTGAGAGGCACGGCAAAGTTTTTTAGTCCGATGCACATCCAATTGATTTTTAATTGAAAAGAATTATATTAAATTTCTTTATCTTCTCAGAACCGAGGGGTTTGAATTTTTTGTTAATTCGCCGATGATTTCTCTCGTTTTTAGTGTGAATATGGGAGTTCACGAGGATACGATCCATTATTATTTAAAAAAATTTTTTTTATTCATATTTCTTTCCTAAGCCCGGTGGCCTGGCGTAGTGGTTAAGGCCGTTGCCTCACAACGGATAGGTTCCAGGTTCGATTCCTGGCCGGGTAGAATGGTGAGATCTAACCATTTTTAAAGTCTTGATCAATCGCCATATAGTCTCATCAGACTCGAAGCGATATAAAATAAGCATAAAAAAAAAAAATTTCTTTCCTACTACCATTATGGTTTTATAGACTCCTCATCCTCCTGCCTTACCTCTCCCACTTCTCTCTTCTGATTTTTATCTGCGTTACTGTGGACTGTCTTACTCTTAACTGTACCCCATTCGGGCTAGGACTACATGGGAAACCATGGAAAACCCCAGTCGCACAGCCGGCCGATTGTGCAGAGCCCTAATGTGCTCTTCTGTCACACTGACTAGAGGGGCACATTAGGCCACTACACCGTGCCTACCTTCCGAAATTTTTGGGCGAAGGTGTTCCTAAGCGACCACCAAGTACTAACCGCGCTAAACCGCAGCGGCACTCGGATGTCCGCCGTAGCAACACCTAACTCCCCAACCATTGCGGTCGGCGTACGATCTATTAATAATCAATGTTTGCATGTACAAATGGAGGAAAAAAGATGCTTGATATTCACTACTCCTCGTTATTGAAGGAAAGTTAAATTTGTTATTAACTTTCCTAAACTTTCTGGAAAATTAAAATGACTGCACGTGAGACAGTATTTATTATTGTGGTTCAGTTTATTTTCCGAAGATTTTTCTCTCAACGAGTTATCATCTGTTGAAGTGCGTAGCCTTAAATTTTGAATCTGGCGGTAGTGTTAATGAAGATGAGGTGCTACAATAAAACTCTTAACGAGTATTAATAAATTAAAATAATGAATGAAGTATTTGTTATGAATTGTCTGTCCCTCTACTACTTGAGCTATTATTATATACACTGTTTTTTCTCTTCAACTCAGAAATTGTTCCGGTATCCTGGCCATTACTTTTTTAATTATCTTCTCCTGCGAAAAACCTCTTCTATCGTTATGTGCTTAACGGACCAGTCGTAATCGTTTTAAGAATCACCCTGCTGCACAATCCCCGCAGGCTATACACCCAGCCCAACTCCTCTGGATTTTTCCATGGTGGCAAGTGCGAAAAATCACTCTTCTGAATACGTGAAGACGCAGATTATTTTTATAATCCCTCCATAACTAATTTAGAAGAACTAGAGACATATGTGGACACATGAAAAGGGACTACTTTGTCGATTCTAGTTTCCGAGATATTCACATTTTTCTCTTGCCAACTCCCATTTAAACCCATGTTAAATTATTTTTTCGATCTTCTTTAGCGTCGTCACTCTTTACGCTATCAAGTTCATTCTGGGCTCTAAATGTTCAGAATCAGATCAAGATTATGGGAATATACATAACTCCAATAATGCCAAAGTGGTCCCTTTTCATGGGGACGTCCACATATGATTAAATGTACGTCGTAGATATCTTTTTAAACATTGTGATGGAATGATGGTAGTAATTTAGGTATTTATGCCTATGAGTGCAATGAAAGTTTTGCTTCCATTGAAACGTTCGAAAAACCCAAAATGACAAATATAACATGGTGGATCAAGCTTAATGTTTTGGTTTCTTCCGAACTGTTGAAGAGAATATATAAATTCCGTGAACAGTTGAGTAGTAATTGTCGGAAGACCGACATTAAATTCAATTTAGGGAGGGAAACAATCATAAAATTTCACATTGCACAGATAATTTCCTAGAATTGCGCTATTCGACTGTTATTTTATATAGTCGATAAGGGGTTCAATTTTTGTCTCATAGTGCAATTCTCTTGGGCGAAATTTGAATGGAAAAGTCCTCTTCCGAATACCACTCGAGCTTCAAAATTAATCAGATATTTCCTTGAAGGTTCCCTGCATACAAATGAACCTATCGGGAAATACCTGATAATTTTGAAGCTCTTGTGGTATTACATACGAATATTTCCTCCTAGCTTTTGAATATTTCGTAGTAGCTCTTCATTTTTTTTACCTGAATATTTCGCAGTTCTTAATTTTTTCGGCTCATTTCAGATCGAATCTTGTATTTGACAGTCTACGGAAATCGGGTTATTCTATTAGCATAATTTTAGCAAATCTTCCCTAATTTACCTCCTGATGTTGTTCACTGCACTCTGATCGGCCAAAATCCGATTAAGAAAAGTAATGCGACAAATATGAGTAGAATAGTATATTTCAGGGCGAGTGCCATGGGGGGTCGCCTTCGGCTCGGACGCCAACTCCACGCGAGTAAAAAAACCCCATGCCATTAGGCGTGAACGATATTCTTCCGCAGTGATTTTCAGTTTTACAAGTTTAGGGAAGGCTCAATACCAATCCCCGGACGAAGAAAAGTGAAGATCAGTACGGAAAAATAATTAAGACACTGTTTAAGGATGTTTATCCAGTGTCGGTAAATTGTCGGTAAATGTGTTTTTTTTCATGGTCAAGGACAATTCTGTAATTTTTTCGGCTGACAACAGAAAATATAAAACTAACTTTTCTAACGTTAAAAAAAAATTGATCACAATAGTCTCGGCAAAAATGGATAAACTAATTTTTCCTGATACACGGGCTCTTATGAAATTTATGTTCAAAGTGATAATTCACCTACTAAAAGACTCTAAAAATAGAAATAAAAATAGAAGGTAATGTGTAAAATCATACTGAATCCAATGGCCGGAGAAAAATCTGGGGTACCCGAGCAAAAAAAAGAAATATTTGAATGATTCTATCCCATATAAGCGCATGTTGGCGCATGCATTTGGTGCTTTTTGTCTATTTGATTTCTAAATAATGAACATGGGTTAGTGGATTGAAATTTGTATCAAAATGAAGGGAATATCTTCGTCTCTCAGTTGAAAAAAAAACTTTTTTTTTAATTACTTGCCATTTTAGATAAACATCCTTAATTATTAGCAGTGATGCAGAGTAATGATAGAGAATTCTGTAACGTCCACTGAGCGGCTTCACACTCTGTCATGAAATCAACGAAATCAATCGAAGTCACTGAAACAAATATTAATAGACTAGGGTAGTGTGGATCGAGCAACTAATGCGAGATTTTTAAATTGACACTTCATTTTCTCTAAAATCATTGATTTCCAATTAATGAGATCATTCGAAATCAATCGAAGTCATAAAACCATGGCACGTGACGCTCGAAATCATCGAAATCAATTCCGTTTGAAGTGAAATCATCTCGGTAATCATGTGAAATGGACTGCATTTTGAAATCGTGAAGTCACTCAATTATGGATTGAGCAGCCCGTCAATGCCCGTATGTTAGTTTTGCTCTTTGTCTATCTCGATCCCTTCCATTCTGTTGTGTGACTGCACAGACCAAATTACCATCGTTTCATAGAATATCACTGACAAAAGAAAATTATATGACTTTCCGCTATCAGCAGAATGGTAAAATGCTGAGTTAAATTGTCTCAGGCACTAGTTTCAAACAATTTTCCAAAGCTATCATTTCCACGTATAGGACACTTTTCCCACTTTTTAACAGGGATGTAGACTGTGTACTTGCAGGGGAGAGCGAGAATGGGATGAATTCAGATAAAACGCTGAGGACGTCTCCACGACGTTCGAATCTCCGGGGCAAAAGTTGGCTCGTAGAAACTTGGTGGTTCCCCGAGAATTTCACCCGTGAGAAGACACGCGGACCGCACCAAGAACCTCACCATAAGATGATCGAGCCTTAGGTTATTTCCGTGTGCCAGTCATCAAGAACAAGAAATGCGGAATACTTGGAGTTCAAGAGAACTGCGAAAGTTCTCTCCTGAAATTAAAGTGAAAGGATTACAGAGAGGATGACTTGCACGTGCTTCAATTTCCCCTCATTACCCAATTTCCCATTCGACATTCAAATTTTTCTCGTCACCTCATCCCTACCCCATTCCCCCTCATCAAATACATCAATTAGCCCGTAAACATGGCTACGAATGCCGAATGACAAAAAAAAATCTGGAGGAATATGATGTCAACCGATAAACAAATCCGGAGCCCTATAAATATTCAGAAGTCCCTCGTGCATGCGATACCCCACCTCCCCAACTCCTCCCCATCTAAACGAGCAAACGTGAAAATTACCAGAGTCGGATTAGCCAAGGTCGAATGGAGGAATGCAACTCCCTAAATAAAACAAAATACACCACGTAGACTTGAAAAAAATAAAGCCAATGGGAGTATCATTTATTCACTCTTGGGCTAAAAACCGTCGAGGCACTAGTCGCACTTTTGGGTGCGCGATAGGGTTGTTAATGACACTGGCGTCTGGCACACACAGGCAATATCCCGTAGAGTCAATTGCTGAGCTCTGTTCCCGAGATAAGGTTCCCGAGACAATGCGGTACTTGATCGCGGGGACTTAAGCTTAATCCTCCGTGTGGTAAGTTGCCGTATTAAGTCGTCCCTACTCAAGAGACTCACCTCCCCCAGCCGTCCCAACCGTAGGGGATTTTATGTGTATCTCAACACACATAAAGAACTCCTTTAAATTACCATTGGATTTATATTTGACCTCGCATCTCATTTTTAATTCAACATTCATTTGCGGTAATCTCTGTATTTTGGCATTTTTAATTTATCTCCGGTGAATGTCTCTGTCTCGTTCGAAAATTTCACCGCTGAATTCAATTTTCAGCCATGGACGAAGGGTACAGCG